ATCACCCCCCTCCATCACAAACACCATCAACGGCACCAAATCACCCCAATAACCCCAATCACCACCATGATCAGCACCACCATCACACTCTTCTTGTCTCTCAAATTCCCCTTGACGGCATTGCCTCTTTGAGGCTCCTTCTCACGAACATTAGGAGGGGGTTCTGGGCCAGCCCGGCTACAACCCATCGCGAAGTGAGCCATCTTACTCTTGGTGAAACGGCAGTGAGATGTTAACTACCTCGCCTGGTGTACAGGAGGTCGTGGGTTCGATCCCGACCCTGACGCCTGCTGCTGTATATTTGGAGTTTGCGTCTCTCTCTCTGCCCGTGGTTGCGTGGATTTTTCTCCGGGTCCTCCGGTTTCCCCCCTCCACATTTAAAAACACGCGTTTAGAGTATTTGGCTGCTTTAATTGTCCACACGATGAGCCACACTTTGTCGGGATATCATTTGCGATAGCCAGGTCGTAGCTCAGCGGGCTTCACTTGGTAAAATACAAACGTTTGTTTAACTTTTAACTGCTTGTGGTGGCGTTCCAAACGTCAAAGGTTCAGCCCGGCGCATTGTTGGCGGAATGTCCCCTCGTCTAGAGAGGTGTTTTGACGAAACGAACCCCTTATCTCCGTCGCTTACAATGGGGACAGCTCCCCGTTCAGTGAGATCCGTTTTGGGCCGATTCGGCAAAACAATTCGAACGCGGCGCCTGGTTTCGTGTTTGTGCCAAATACCTGGGCTGATAACACCTGGAACAGGTGCAATGTAAATAAAGGTGGATTCTAGTCCAGGGGGATTGTAAATAAAGGTGGATTCCGGTCCAGGCGGATTGTAAATCGGTGGACTGTACACCTGGTGGAAGATACATCAATTGGATTCTATATCAACTTAACTTATTGGATTATAATCCATCTAATTTAGAATCCACCTAAGATTAGAATTAACCCGATTTAAAATCCACCTGGATTGTGAATTAGGTGGATTCTTAATCAGGTGAATTGTCCACCAGGGAATTGGTGTCAAGGCTGGGCTGACATATCTTTGCCAGATGGATTATAAATCAGGTGGTTTGTAAATCAGTTAGGATTGTAGATCGCGTAGACTCAGATAGATGAATTCAATTGCAGGTGGATATTGAGCATCGAGTTCAGAGTTTAAGTTGATGTTGACGATGTTGATCGATAATAATAATGATGTTATTATAGCTGTCGCTGCGAGACACGGTTGCCAACTCCGAGTTACAAAAAAAACCGGGAGGTCATTGTGGGGAACGGGGAGGGGAACTTCTCACGCTCGCGGAAGAGAGGAGAAAGCCAGGTGGATGCGTCGTCTCGAGTGATGGATCACTGTTATCATCGCTACGCAAGTGGCAAGGGCCAGGACTCGATGTTAAGGAACGCTCCCCACGACAGCTGCTGCCTCACTCACTCGGCAAGAGAACGTCCCGGGAAAAACCGGACAGGTGGCAACTCCGGCTGCTGCCGATGATCCTGACATAATTCATAATTGCTGCTACCGACGATGACTAATCTGCTGCCGATTGTGATGGCTGATACAACTGCCGATGAGAACTACTGCTGCGTTAGCGGCTGCGTTGCGAACGCAGCCGCCGCTTGTGATGTCAGGCAGAATGGAATCTACGAAGCTGCCCTCCCACTCTGCACTGTACGGTCTCCACCAGAGACTCCGCGCGCCCTGGAAACCCGAACCCAAATAAAGAGGCTTTTGTGAGCGCAGAGCGTGGGAGGGGGGGGGGGGCTCCCAGGACATTTCACCCAGCAACAGCGTGCGGCATTGTCCCGTCAGCTCGTGCGGGCCCACTGAGCCAGACGCGGCAGGGCACATTCTGTGGTTATCTGGCGGTTCTGTAGTTCTGTGTGGCTCTGTGGTTCTCTGTAGTTCTCTGGCGGTTCTGTGTGGCTCTGTGGTTCTGTGGTTCTCTGTGGTTCTGTGGCTCTCTGTAGTTCTGTGTGGCTCTGTGGTTCTCTGACGGTTCTGTTCTGGCCCAGGTCACGTGGCCGCCGAGCCGGGTCCCACTGCGGTCTCGATGGGCGGGGGGGAGAGGGGTCTGGTGGTGGGGGGGGGGGTCTGGTGGGGGGGGGGGGTCTGGTGGGGGGGGTCTGGTGGTGGAGGGGGTCTGGTCAGGGGGGTCTGGTGGGGGGGGTTTAGTGGGGGGGGGAGTCTGGTGGGGGTGGGGGTCTGGTGGGGGGGGGGGGGTCTTGTACAGGGATTCTGGGACGAGGGGTCCCAGGGAAGGGGGTTCCAGAATGAAGAGAGTTTTCTGGAGGGGTGTGAAGGTAGCCCTGGTGAGGTTGGTTAAGGATGGGAGGGTAGGTGAGCGTGGGTGAGTGAGTGTGGTTGCTGATGAGGGTGGGGCTGGTGAGGATGGGTGAGGTGTGGAGAACGAGTGGGAATCAAAGCCAACGCATTTGTGCACGAACTAATCCGTGTGTATCTGTGTGTGCTCACACAAAAAGCACTGGCCCCAAAAGTCTGTTTAAGCCTATATGGGGGATCTTTGTCTTTGTATCTATATGTGTGGGGAGCGGTAGTGTAGTGGCTAGTGCCACTAACCCGGCGACCCGAGTTCGATTCTCACTCACGGCCAATACCAGTTGCGATCATCTGAACTGGTCATGGGCCTCCCTTGGGTCTACTAGTCAGCCTCAAATGAGTACCTGGTGCGTTGTGTAAAAATATCAGCACTGGTGAGACAAAGGCGGCCGGGCGTGGTGCTGGCTACCAACCCCCTTGTGTACCGTGCTGCACTTCATAGGTGCTCGCTAACAGCACTTGCCACAGTCTGTTCAGGCTATATTGGGGATCTTTGTCTTGTTTGTGTGTGTCAGTGTGTCTCCCATCAGAGCTGTCACCATGAAGCTGTGGGCGCTGCTGCTGCTACTTGGTCTGGCAGGGTCAGCCCTGGCCGTCCCCGTGAGTCCCTGCACATCTGGGCACTCCTTTCACACATCTGGGAAATGACAGTACAAACCTGCTCGCTCTTAGTGCACACACAGGCTCACTGTCATCTCACCTGGGCCCCTGTCTCACCTGGGGCCCTGTCTCACCTGGGCCACTATGGTCTCACCTGGGCCACTGTCATCTCACCTGGGCCACTGTCTCACCTGGGCCACTGTGATCTCACCTGGGCCACTGTCTCACCTGGGCCACTGTGGCCTCACCTGGGCCACTGTCATCTCACCTGGGCCACTGTCTCACCTGGGCCACTGTGGCCTCATCCTGGACCACTGTGGCCTCACCTGGGCCACTGTGATCTCACCTGGGCCACTATGGCCTCACCTGGGCCACCGTGGCCTCACCTGGGCCACTGTGATCTCACCTGGGCCACTGTGGCCTCACCTGGGCCACTGTGATCTCACCTGGGCCACTGCCGTCTTACCTGGACCACTATCATCTCACCTGGGCTATTGTGGTCTCACCTGGGCCACTGTCTCACCTGGGCCACTGTGGCCTCACCTGGGCCACTGTGGCCTCACCTGGGCCACTGTCTCACCTGGGCCACTGTCGTCTCACCTGGGCCACTGTCTCACCTGGGCCACTGTGGTATCACCTGGGCCACTGTGTCCTCACCTGGGCCACTGTCATCTCACCTGGGCCACTGTGATCTCACCTGGGCCACTGTCATCTCATCTGGTCCACTGTCGTCTCACCTGGGCCACTGTGGTCTCACCTGGGCTGCTGTCTTGGCATTTGCAGGCGATGGAGGAGTACGAAGCAGAAGTCCGGACCGGCGATGACGACGCCTGGAACCCGCCCGGAGTAAATGCCCCATCACACACGCAGACAAAGATCCCCTGGCCAGCCTCGGCAGACTCCTGGGGCGCCCACCAACACACACGTGCAACCACTGCCCTTCACCGCTATAGAGCCCTGAAGTCACCACTACGCTGGTGCCAGGCTAGGCGCATGTGTGCACACAAAGATCCCCTGTAAAGCCTTTAACAGACTGTTGGGGCAAGTGCTGTTAGCGAGCACCTATGAGGGGCCGGGTGGCCATCGCCACGCCTGGCGAACTTTGTCTCCCCAAGTGGCGATGTTTACACACCGCTCCAGGGGACTCATTTGAGGCGGAGGTGAAGCCCAGGAACGGTTCAGATAATCGTCACGGGAGTTTGTGGCCATTGGCGAGAATCGAACTCGGGTCGCCAGGCTCGTAGCTACTGCGCCACCGCCCCCCACTCGACACGTACTACAAGCGGACACACGCGCACGCACGCAGTATGACCACGAGGAACCAGGACGAACAGTTTGATCACCGTGGAGGCTCCTGCACAACAGTCGTCCAACGCTGGACACGCGCCGGCCTTAATAGGCGCTCACCGATCGGGGCTGGAATTTTGTGGGGGGGGGGAGGGAGGAGGGCTGTTGCGGGGGGTTGGAACAGGACGCGACAGTAGGGGTCACCACGTTCTCTCCCATCAGGTGCAGGAGTACGACGGAGACGTGGAGATCCAGGAGGAGACCCAGGGAGAGGAGACTGTGGGGGAGGAGGAGCCGCAGGAGGAGGTCCAGGAAGAGACCGGAGATGAGGAGATGCAGGAAGAGACTCAGGGTGTGAGTAACTCTGTGGGGGTCATGAGATGTGGGTTGGGGCAGGGCTCGGTGAACCTGCGGCTCCGGAGCCGAATGCGGCTCTTCAAGGGCTGCATTGCAGCTCTTGAAATATTTTAAGGGGGGCAGGAGTTTCTCCGAATAAAAAAAAAATATTTTTTTGTTATTTTTGGTTGACGACCCCTGACCATGGGAGTCCATATTACAATGGAAATCCAGTTTACCATAAAAGTGCAGTTTACCATTGAAGTCCAGCTTACAATGGAAGTCCAGCTTACAATGGAAGTCCAGTTTACCATGGGAGTCCAGTTTACCATGGGAATCCAGTTTACCATATAAGTCCAGTTTACAATGGAAGTCCAGCTTAACATGGAAGTCCGGCTTTCCATAGAAGTCTAATTTACCATGGATGTCCAGTTTAACATGGGAGTCCAGTATACTATGAGAGTCTAGTTTACCATAGGAGTTAAATTTACAATGGAGGTCCAGTTTACCATGGGAGTCCAGTTTACCATTGGCAGGGGTCAGCAACCTGCGGCTCTTTAAGGACTGCTTCGTGACGTTATCTATGACGGACCCACCGTCTCGTATTCACCACAGTGTATTCCGGCTCTAGACCTATTTAACTTTTACGAAATGTGGTTGCCAACCCCTCAATTAGGGTGAGGCTTATGGGCTCCATTTAAGGATGCGTTAAAGTTATAGTTAAGGAAAGGGGTTACGAGTAAGGGGTTATAATTAGGTTTTTAAGTTGGGGTTATGGGTTAGTGCAAGAGAAAACACATAGGGTTTAGGTTAAGGGTTAGGATTTGGTTTGGGTTAAAGTTAGGCTCTGGATTTGGTTTAGGGTTTAGGTTAGGGTTAGAATTAGAGTTTAGGTCATGGCTATGGGTTAGGGTTTAGGTTATGGGTTATAATTAGAGTTTAGGTCATGGCTATGGGTTAGGGTTGAGGTTATGGGTTCGAATAAGGGTTATGGGTTCTGGTTACGGCTGCACATGAAGAGTGTCTCTCTGTGCCCATAGGACGCGGTGGTGGTGGAGGAAACTCCAGTGGTGGAGGAGGAGGTGGTGATTGAGGTACAGTATGAACTGAATTCACACAGGCCTCAGTCCTGCTCTAGAATATCAGAGCCTGACACAGGCCTCAGTCCTGCTCTAGCATAATGGAGACTCACACAGGCCTCAGTCCTGCTCTAGAGTAACAGACCCTGACACTGGCCTCACTCCTTCTCTAGAGTCGTATCTAACGCATGTCCCCTCCTCTTCCAATAGGAGTCGGAAGAGGAGGAGGAAGAGACCCCCCTCATCAGTAAGTCCTCTTGTCCCCTTGTCTCCCTGTCCCTTCGTCTCCACATCCCTGTGTTTCCATGTCCCCATGTGTCCGTGATCCCATGTGTATATGCATCTACCTCCTCACGTCCCTTTGTCTCCGTGTCTCAATGTCCCCGTATCCCAATGGCCCCGTGTCTGTGTAGACCCTTGCCTGGGGTTCAATTGTAAGCTGGACTGGCTGGCATGTCCCCGTTTCTGAATGTCCCAGTGACTGTGCATCTCCATGTCTTAATGTCCCCGTGACCCCGTGTCTCAATGTCCCCGTGTCTCAATGACCCCATGACCCCATGTCCCCATGTCTCAATGACCCCGTGATCCCGTGTCCCCATCACCCCATGTCTCCACGTCCCCCCGTGTCTCCACGTCCCCATGACCCCGTGACCCCACGTCTCCGTGTCTCCGTGTAGACCCGTGCCTTGGGTTCGCCTGCAAGCCGGGCCGTGTGTGCGAGGTGGACGTGGAGTCGCGTCCCGTCTGCATCTGCCAGAGCGCCGACACCTGCGAGTCGAGCAGCAGCGTTGACACCATGGTGGGTGATATCTTCATAGTCAACGCCATCATCGTCATCATCGTCGTCAACATTAACGGCAACATCAACATCGTCAACATCAACATCGTCATCACCGCCAACAATAACAATTATCCGTAATTAGTTTCTGTTGGGTTAAATCCTGTCGTAGGTATCATGTAAAACGTTTAACAGTTCCCCTCCACCACCCAGCGACAGAGCCAACCAAATCAAGTTGCCACGTCAGTGCGCTCACACCAGAGGACGGTGATGGGGGGATAGGGGGAGCGAGGGGGGAGGAGGAAGGGTGTTGGGAAGCGAACAGAATGATGACGATTGTCCATCTGAGGTTCCGCTGGCTTATGACATCCAGCATCATCGCCTGTTCACAAGAGCTCAGCTCCATGCTCGTGAAAGGGCTTTTCATGAAGCTAACAACAACAACCTTACCACCATCGGCGGCAACATCGTACTGTTGATGTCGATGGGTGGTGATGGTTGTGGTGCTGTTGTTGATGCGGATGTTGTTGATGGTGGTGATAGGGGTGGTGCTGTTCTTGTTGATGTCTTGATTGTGGTGCAGCTGTGCGGCACTTATAACCACATCCACTCAATGATGCTGATGTTGCTGATGTTGCTGATGTTGATTGTGGTCGTGCATTTCTGCAGCACGGATAGCCACACATGCTCAATGATGGTGATGTTGATGATGGTGGTGTTGGTGATATTCATGACGATGATGATGATGGTAGTGTTGATGATAGGTATGTATGTTGAACTTTTTCTGCAACGTACGTAGCCAACCGTGCAAATCGGAGGTGCAATGATGATGGCGTTCGTGGCTAATGATGTTGATGGTTAATGATGATGATGGCCTTGGTGGTTAATGATGTTGATGGTTAATGATGATTATGGTGTTGATGGTGGTGGTGCAGCTGTGTGGCACGGACAACCACACGTATCCGTCGCACTGCCATCTGGATGCCCACCGCTGCGCCCTCGATGGCACCAAGAAGGGGCGGCATCTGCACCTCGACTACATCGGGCCCTGCAAGGGTACGCAAAGACAAAGATCCCCCGCATAGCCTCAACAGGTTGTTGGGGCAAGTGCGGTTAGCGTGCGTAGCACCTATGAAGGCCGGCATGGTACACGAGAGGGTGGGTGGCCAGCATCACGCCCTGCCGCCTTTGTCTCCCAAGTAGCGATGTTTGCACACCGCACCAGATACTCACTTGAGGCCGAGTTGACCTAGTGGAGGCCCAGGACCGATTCAGATAATCGTCGCTGGTGTTGGCTGTGAGCAGGAATCGAACTCGGGTCACGGGGTTTGTAGCGCAGCGTAGCTACAACCGCGACGACGACGAGGCGCAAAAAACACGGACGCGCACGGATGCATTCAGGTGGGATGGCGCGTGCGTTACACGGGTGTGTGTCCAGTGACGTCCTAAATCGTGCTCTCTGTGATGCTGCTCTGATGTCACTGCCCTCGCTCCCTCCCCCACCTCCTTACTCCCCACCTCCCCCCCCACCCCCTCCCCCCGGGGCACAGAGATCACGCCGTGCCTGGACGTGGAGCTGACCGAGTTTCCCCTGCGGATGCGCGACTGGCTCAAGAACGTCGTCGTGCAGATGTACGAGAGGGACGAGGAGCGCGGGGAGCTGCTCACCGACAAGCAGAGGCGCAAGGCACGGCACGGGGGGGGGGGGGGTGCACGGGCAGGAGGGTACAGGAGACACGGAGGTGGGGGGGGTACAGGAGACACGGGGGTGGGGGGGGGCAAGGGCGGTAAGTAGGGGGGTATTTGGGGGGTGCTGTGGAAGCACGGGGAGAACGAGGGGGTACGAGGGGGTGGGGCGTTATACGTAGGGTACGGGGTGAGTGGGGTGGGCAAGGGGGTGGTACGATTGTGTTTCTGCTGATCACGCGCTTGTGACAAACCTCACGTACAGACGGAGAGACAGAGCCGGGGCTCATTGGCTGACTGACCGACTGCCTGCCTGACTCGTTAAGCGTCGGGGAGTCTGACTGACTAGCGCACCGACTCGCAGGCTGGCTGGGCGGTCACACGGCTGGGTGGTCACACGGCTGGGCGGTGGCGGGCTCGGCGCTTGGGTTCGACGTTCGTGCTTCCAGTCGCAAAGCCCGTCCCGGTTGATACTGCCAGTGCGTTGTCAACCGTGAAAATACCATATGCCCGTCCGTTTCACGGTGAACGATAAAGAATAGCCCCCCCCCCCCACCCCCCACCGCGAAGTCATTTGAACAAGAATATGCGGCCGTCAAAAGCACGTGGGAACATCGCCCCGCACCGCGAAAACTGCCGCGGGCTGTGCCCGCATCGTCAAACACAGCGGCGTGGGTTGTTGTGCAAGTGCGCTATACGTGTGTGTGTGCGTACGATAAATAAAGACAAAGAGCGGTAGCGTAGCGGTGAGCACGCTGCGCTCCGAACCCGGCAACCCGAGTTCGATTCTCACTCACGGCCAACACCAGTGACGATTATATAAATTGGTCATGGGTCTACCCCTAGGTCGACTCAGCCTAAAATTACTACCTGGTAAGGTGTGTAAACATCAGCCCTGGGGAAACAAAGGCGGCCTGGCGTGGTGTTGGCCACCCCACTACCTCGTGTGCCGTGCCACCCTTCATAGGTGCTCACTTAACAGCACTTGCCCCAGCAGTCTGTTCAGGCTATACCGGGGATCTTTGTCTTTGTACGTAATACGGAGTTGGCCAAACATCCCGATGTAGGAGCACAGAGCTTGGGCAATTGTTGAGGGGGTGGAGGGGCGGGGGCGGTTCTAGCTGTCTTCCCCGCTCGCCCGTGGTGTCCCGCGCCTCTGAATCGCTCTCCGGCTCTCGCTTGTTACTCGACGACCGATCGGCCGGTTGCCGCGTTGCCCGTACGTGTGAATTGTTCGCTGCGCTAACCACTCCGGTGGGGGGTGTGGGGGCGGCGGCGTTTGGCTTCTGCAGTTGCGGAAGATCGTGAGCGACGAGCGGCGCCTGCGGCAGGGCGACCACACGCGCGAGCTGCTGCAGCGCGACTTCGTCAAGAACTACCGCATGTACATCTACCCGGTGCACTGGCAGTTCGCCCAGCTCGACTCCCGCCCGGCAGACAGGCAAGACGATGGCGCGCGGCACCGGCGCGTAGCAACCATGCGTAGCAACTGCGCGTAGCAACCAGCGCGTAGCAACCACGCGTAGCAACCACCGTGCGGCACCAGCGCATAGCAACCACACATAGCAACCACCTAGCAACCACATGTAGCAACCACACGTAGCAACCACACGTAGCAACCACACGTAGCAACCACACGTAGCAACCACCGCGTAGCAACCACACGTAGCAACCACCGCGTGGCACCAGCACATGGGCATACAACACGTACCCCCTACAGGATACCAGCACCCCGGACGATGAGCATCTCTGCGCCTTGTAGATGCCTGGGCACGCCGTAGGTGCCTGTGTAGGTGCCTGTGTAGGTGCCTGTGTAGATGCCTGTGTAGGTGCCTGTGTAGGTGCCTGTGTAGGTGCCTGTGTAGGTGCCTGTGTAGGTGCCTGTGTAGATGCCTGTGTAGGTGCCTGTGTAGGTGCCTGTGTAGGTGCCTGTGTAGCCTGTGTAGGTGCCTGTGTAGGTGCCTGTGTAGGTACCTGTGTAGGTGCCTGTGTAGGTGTGTAGGTACCTGAGTGCCTGTGTAGGTACCTGTGTAGGTGCCTGTGTAGGACCTTGGTGTGGTAGGGCCTGTGTAGGTGCCTGTGTAGGTACTGTGTAGGTCCTGTGTAGGTGCCTGTGTAGGTGCTGTGTAGGTGCCTGTAGGTCCTGGTAGGGCCTGTGTAGTGCCTGTGTAGGTACTGGTAGGCCTCCACTACTGGTGTGCTGGGACGCGCATGGTACTGTGTAGGTACCTGAGTGCCTGTGTAGGTGCCTGTGTAGGTGCCTGTGTAGGTACCTGTGTAGATGCCTGTCCCACTCACCCAGTGTGCTGGGCTCGCTGCAGGTACCTGTCCCACTCGGAGCTGTCCCCGCTGCGGGCCCCGCTGGTGCCCATGGAGCACTGCACCACGCGCTTCTTCCTGCGCTGCGACGCCGACGGAGACCGCCTCATCTCCCTGCCCGAGTGGGGCGCCTGCTTCGGCCTCCTGCCCGGTACGCGGGCCCCAGTGGGGACCTGGTGGGACCCGGGGGGGGGGGGGTCGTCTCGTAGACCCAGAGGGACCCAAAGAGATCACGGAGGGATGCAGGAGACCCCGGGGGGGGGGGGGGGCAAGAAGGGCTCTGGGGGGACCCAGGGAGACCCAATGGGACCGTGGTGGAGATGATGACATCGATGGTGGTGATATTGATGATCGTCAGTGATGTGATGTTAATGATGATGTTACTCGTGGTGCTGATGATCTCTTTGTTTTACAGACGACGTGGACGAGGCTCTGCTCTTCTAAGCACCACCCCCCCCTCTCCCTTCCGCCCCCTGCCCCGCAACAACAACAACGCAACAACAACACGTGCAGCAACACCACCACCACACACCTTCACCTCGTCATACACAATGACAGCCCATCAGCTCCAAGGTTTCTGTCATGATGCCGATGATGAATTTGTAGCGATGGTAAACATGTCGGGGTTAATGACGACGACGACGACGATGAAATAATGGGTGGTGATGAATGAACGTTGCTGGTCAAGTTGCCGATGATGGTGACTGTGATGATGCCGTCGGCGATGATGGCGGCGGTGATATTTCTATGGTGATCTCGTCAGCGTTGGTGATAGTTAAACCGCCGGTACGCCGAGCGGTAATGGTGCTGGTATATCACAAAGGTGTGTTCACTGTAGTAACACGGTGGCCGATGGCGACGATGGCGACGATGGCATCGCGGTGGTGACGTTGATATCATCGGTGGTGACGACGGTGATGATATGAACACGATCGCAGCTCCGCCTAAAGATGCCTCCCCCCCCCCTCCTGCCTTCAAGGTCACCGCGGTCCCAGCAACCCCTCCGTAAACATGGAACGCTGCTGGCTCAACGAAGGGACCAACCACGTGCCCCAACGTTTCGAGGGGGGCAACGTCGGGGCACGTGTTTGCGCACCGGCTTATAGCACGTGGTCCCGTACCCTCGCCACCACCGCCACGATTTAAAACCAATTAACTCCTCGCGGCCTCCGTTGGCCACACGATAGGGCGGCTCTAAGGTTTTGTTCTTTTATATATAAATCAAGATTATATACGTAGCGGTTGACGTTGGGGTGGCGGGGGGAACCGCACCAAGGGAATGTGACGCACGGGTCAGCGCCCCCTGGGGCCACTGCGCGCCTCGCCGCGGGGGGCTGTCTCCCTCTCACGGTTGTGCTACGGCTTCCCCGATTGAATCGATAGATCGATCAGGCGGGTCGGTCGATCGGTCGCGGCCAGAGGGCCTCTCGCGTAAACAGCGAACGCGCCGGGGGCATGGGGGGGTTTGAGGGCGCCGTGTTGTGATGGAGACACGCGGGGAACCTGGCCGGCCTACCATGGAGACCACTCGCACTGATTGGTCAACACTGTAGTGGTGTTGCATTCTGATTGGTCAACACTGTAGGGGTGGGTCACTCTGAATAGTCAACACTGTAGGGGTGGGCCACTCTGATTGGTCAACACTGTAGGAGTGCGCCACTCTGATTGGTCAACACTGTAGGGGTGGGCCACTCTGATTGGTCAACACTGTTGGTGGGCCGCTCTGATTGGTCAACACTGTAGGGGTGTGCCGCTCTGATTGGTCAACACTGTAGGGGTGCGCCACTCTGATTGGTCAACACTGTAGGGGTGGGCCGCTCTGATTGGTCAACACTGTAGGGGTGCGCCACTCTGATTGGTCAACACTGTAGGGGTGGGCCACTCTGATTGGTCAACACTGTAGGGGTGGGCCACTCTGATTGGTCAACACTGTAGGGGTGCGCCACTCTGATTGGTCAACACTGTAGGGGTGGGCCACTCTGATTGGTCAACACTGTTGGTGGGCCGCTCTGATTGGTCAACACTGTAGGGGTGTGCCACTCTGATTGGTCAACACTGTAGAGGTGTGCCACTGATTGGTCAACACTGTAGGGGTGGGCCACTCTGATTGGTCAACACTGTAGGGGTGCGCCACTCTGATTGGTCAACACTGTAGGGGTGGGCCACTCTGATTGGTCAACACTGTAGGGGTGGGCCACTCTGATTGGTCAACACTGTAGGGGTGGGCCACTCTGATTGGTCAACACTGTAGGGGTGGGCCACTCTGATTGGTCAACACTGTAGTGGTGTTGCATTCTGATTGGTCAACACTGTAGGGGTGGGCCGCTCTGATTGGTCAACACTGTAGGGGTGGGCCGCTCTGATTGGTCAACACTGTAGGGGTGCGCCACTCTGATTGGTCAACACTGTAGGGGTGGGCCACTCTGATTGGTCAACACTGTAGGGGTGGGCCACTCTGATTGGTCAACACTGTAGGGGTGGGCCACTCTGATTGGTCAACACTGTAGGGGTGGGCCACTCTGATTGGTCAACACTGTAGGGGTGCGCCGCTCTGATTGGTCAACACTGTAGGGGTGCGCCACTCTGATTGGTCAACACTGTTGGTGGGCCGCTCTGATTGGTCAACACTGTAGGGGTGTGCCACTCTGATTGGTCAACACTGTAGGGGTGCGCCACTCTGATTGGTCAACACTGTAGGGGTGGGCCGCTCTGATTGGTCAACACTGTAGGGGTGGGCCACTGATTGGTCAACACTGTAGGGGTGCGCCACTCTGATTGGTCAACACTGTAGGGGTGGGCCACTCTGATTGGTCAACACTGTAGGGGTGGGCCACTGATTGGTCAACACTGTAGGGGTGCGCCACTCTGATTGGTCAACACTGTAGGGGTGGGCCACTCTGATTGGTCAACACTGTTGGTGGGCCGCTCTGATTGGTCAACACTGTAGGGGTGTGCCACTCTGATTGGTCAACACTGTAGAGGTGTGCCACTGATTGGTTAACACTGTAGGGGTGGGTCACTCTGATTGGTCAACACTGTAGGGGTGCGCCACTCTGATTGGTCAACACTGTAGAGGTGGGCCACTCTGATTGGTCAACACTGTAGGGGTGTGCCACTCTGATTGGTCAACACTGTAGAGGTGTGCCACTCTGATTGGTCAACACTGTAGGAGTGTGCCACTCTGATTGGTCAACACTGTAGGGGTGTGCCACTCTGATTGGTCAACACTGTAGGGGTGTGCCACTCTGATTGGTCAACACTGTAGAGGTGTGCCACTGATTGGTCAACACTGTAGGGGTGTGCCACTCTGATTGGTCAACACTGTAGAGGTGTGCCACTCTGATTGGTCAACACTGTAGGGGTGGGCCACTCTGATTGGTCAACACTGTAGGGGTGTGCCGCTCTGATTGGTCAACACTGTAGAGGTGGGCCACTCTGATTGGTCAACACTGTAGGGGTGTGCCACCCTGATTGGTTAACACTGTTGGTGCACCACTGATTGGTCAACACTGTTGGTGCACCACTGATTGGTCAACACTGTTGGTGTACCACTGATTGGTCAACACTGTTGGTGCACCACTGATTGGTCAACACTGTAGGTGTACCTTACTGATTATATAACACTGTAGCGGTGTGCCTCGCTGTGGTTATGTAACACGAGCGGTGTGCTTGCATTCCTAGCCCTACCCTCTATAACCTCGTCCAGCCTATCCCCCCCGCAGGTGCTTTTCTTGTACTAACCTGTAACACGTGTTCATGGAGATAACTGTAACCACTGCATGATGAATAAATCTTAGTAAGAATGGTTGTGTGTTGTTGTTGTTGCTGGTCGAATGTTCTGTATGGGTTGTGTTTAATATACAAGTGTGTGGCTGGAGGATGTAGTCTCTGGGTTGCGAGTCTAAACAGTCACTCCAAGTCTTTTTTTCAGAAGCTGCCTGGCCACAAATGGGGTAGCTCAATGAAGTGGCTCATCACGTGGAAATGTACAGTAGTCAAATTGCTCTAAACGCGTGCTTATAAATATGTTGGGGAAAAACCGGAGGACCCGGAGAAAAATCCACGGGATGAGAGAGACACACGCAATTGAACCCACGACCTCCTGCATACCAGGCGAGGTAGTTAACATCTCCTAGCCACCGTGATGATGATGAGAGAGAGACACGCAAACTCCAAATATACAGCAGCAGGCGTCAGGGTCGGGATCGAACCCACGACCTCCTACATACCAGGCGAGGTAGTTACCATCTCCTAGCCACCGTCAGAAGCATCAGCAGCAGCATCAGCAGAGGCGGCACCAGAATCAACAGCAGCAGAATCGTTTGTCGTAGGAACGGCTTTATGAATCACATACGAAAACAACAGCCCCACGTGGCTGGGGGAGGGAGGGAGGGGCAGCCTCCAGACCGAGTAAATCGATGAAACCTAAAATATATCTTCTTCTTCTGCTTGCGATCCAACACACATTCTCTATATGCACCAACGTGGACGCACGTCTTAAATACTACCACGGCACCCGCCCCGGGAGGAGCCTCTCCTGCCCACCCCGTGCCGTTGGGAGCGCTGCAGGGCAACAGGGCGTGGAGGAGCATTGCTACCCTGGTAGAGGCACTGCAGCTGCCCGTCACAGCCCTTGAGCCCAACTCCATCCCTGTCCCTCGACCGGGACCCCAACTCCAAACCCTAACGTTAACCCCACCCCTACGCATAATCCCTAACCCAAACGCTAGCGCCGAAACTTACCCAGAATTCTATCCATAATTTCAACAATATCTAAAATGCAAGTTCCAACCCGATCCCAAATGCGAAGCTCGGGCACTGTTCCCAACTCTACATCAAAACCACAACCCTAATCCTTCATTCCTAAGCCTAACCACAACCCCTGCTAAAACAACTCTGCATAATGCTGACACTCACCAATCCCTTGTTCCCGTGCCCATGAACGCCGGGGGAGGGGACGGGGGGGGGGTCAACCCCCCCCCACCACACCGCCGCTCTCGACTTTTGGCTGTCACCGGCTGTCGAGAGACCTCCACCGGGACAAGCGGATTTCCCCCGTCGCTCGCAAACCAACAGCGCGCACAGCTCGCGGCCTGGCTCCGGTGCGCTGGGGCAGTGGCAGCGCACCCCACGCAGCAGCAAGTGCCAGCACGCCCCTCTTCGTTACGCACGCGTCGTCTCTCTAGTAGAGTATACTTTGTATACATGGCAGCACATTGTCGCCGCTACCGCCGCCCCCGCCGCCGTCGTCATCATCATCGGTCAACTCGTGAACACCATATGGACAATCTCGCCCACGGAACACTCCTATTGCTCTATTGGGTTTTGCGAACTAACCACCCTGCGGGAGGCATCTCGGCGCCGGCAACGGTGGCGGGGAGGGGCACGGCGATTGGAGGGATGGGTGCGGCGACTAAAGGGACAACCCTGGGGTGACCCCCACTAGGGGGCCGGCCCCCCTCCGCACATCTCCGCCCCCCCCCCCCTCTCCCAACCCTCACCCCTGTCCGCTCCACGCCGCGGTTTCTTCACGAGGGTGGACGTTACCGGCGCCGCGCGTCGTCGCCTCTCGCTTCGAAGCGGAGCAGGGAGATTGAAGACAAAGGTGGGGGGGTGGGGAGGGTGGGAGATTAGAGTTGGAGATGAAGGTAAGGGAGCGAGCGGAAGATTAAGGCGGGGAGTGGGACGTCGAAGGCAGGGGGCTGGGAAGCGAGAGGAAGGTGGCTGGGGGATGTGCGACGTCCTCCTGGTCACGGTTGCACCGTCGCTCCTCTCTCTCCGTGTGTGTGGGGCGGGGTCGCCGGCGACGCGGCACCGTGCAGCTCGACCTCTCTACTCATCCGGGGAGTCGGCCCCCGCACCCTCGTCGTCTCCGCCCTCCGAGATGTCGTCATCTTCATCGTCGTCGTCGTCCTCGTCGTTCTCCACCTGCCACGGCAAGCGCACGCGGTTCACGGCGACTCGGCACAACGAGCCACGGTCGCCACGACAACTCGGTGTACCGAAGTGTCCCACGACACCACGCTTGGCGCGTGTCGGTGAACTCGGCCGAATGTGCCACCGTTAATTCTAGATTTGAAGCTTTCGTGAGTGCAAGGATTCATATTCTTAGGTTTTTTCGGTAAAGTCACGTAGGTAAAAAATTCAAATTAATAAAAGTAAAATAAAAATAAAATTAAAATCATGACGTTTCGGAGGCAACACAAGCTTCCATCTTCAGGTGGAACAGTCACAGCACGATAGCTGTATCAATACAGCTATCAATACAGCTATCAATACAGCTATCGTGCTGTGACTATTCCACCTGAAGACGGAAGCTTGTGTTGCCTCCGAAACGTCGTGATTTTTATTTTATTTTTATTTTACTTTTATTAATTTACATTTTTTACCTACGTGACTTCATCGAAAAAAACCTAAGAATGTGCCACCGTTAGTCACGTCGGTGCGCCACAACGCACGTGCCACAAGCACCGACCCGGCATCAACACAGTTTGTGCCGCAGAGCCCGTGTCGTGGCACGTGGAACCCCCACACTTCCCACAGAGCCACGTGTCACAGTTTCAAAGTTGATGTCGCGTGACCAGGTGCCGACTCAAGAGAGAGCATGACATGGGCCACTCAAACTACCAGAGCGAAACAAACAACATAAAGTACAAAGCAAAAATGAAGCCAGACGCGAATCGGTGCCAAAACACAGCTGCGTCACGCGCCGTTGCGTTTGCGGTATTTGCGGCGCGTGCGCTACGCGTCTCACCGCGTGTCCCAGCTCGCGCAGGCGGCCCTTGAGCGCGATGATCTTCTGGTCCTGGTCGGCGAGCAGCACCAGCAGGTCGTCCTGCTCCTTCCTCGTGTCGCCCGCCTCCTTGTTGAGGCGCACCACCTCCTGGCGCAGGCGCGCGGTCTCGCCCGCGCTCTCCGCCAGCGCCAGCTTCTCCTCCGTGAGCAGCCGCACCGTGTCCTGGGCAGAGACGCAGCCAACGTCACCACGACCGTCACCACCACCAGCAGCACGTTCGTAGCGATCAACAACATCTTCTTGGTTCTTTCGGTAAAGTCACGTAGAAGGGAAATAATAAAATAATACAAATAAAACATAATAATTCTCACGACGTTTCGGCCACAACGCAAGCAGCCGTCCTCAGGTGAAGTACAGGTCTGCCGGAAAGACAGCGTCTGAATGAAACACCACCAGGCTTGGAGCGTATATTTAAGCTGGGTTGGAGGGGGAAGAGCGCCTTGACAAAATAATTTGCATATCAAGAGGACTTTAGCAGACCTTTCCGACAGACCTGTTCTTCACCTGAGGACGGCTGCTTGCGTTGTGGCCGAAATGTCGTGAGAATTATTTTATAATGTTTTATTTGTATTATTTTATTATTTCCCTTCTACGTGACTTTACCGAAAGAACCAAGAAGATGAATCCCTGCAGTCACGGAAGCTTTAAATCGAAATCAACATTGTCATCACCACCACCATCACCAAATCGACCGCCATGACCACCACGAACACCACGACCATCATCAACTCCATGAGCACTTTTATCACCAAAACGACGACCATCATCACCGTGGCAACCACCTTCACGCCCGTCACCACCACCATTCGTGATTAGCAATAGATAAGCGGACAATGCTCCTCTTTCACATGCATATCCCTGCACGTGAAACATCTGAAGATCTTTTCTTTAATCATCCCATCAGTGGCACGGCCTTCTGGGAGTGCATACATTTCAGCAGTAATGGTTGAACACAAGCACAACCCTGGACTGTATTTGGACACACGGTCTCATGCGTCAGGGACGCTTGAGCCACCACTTGTGAACTGCCAGAAATCCATAGGAAAGGGCGCCGCTCCCCACCTCTCTGCCAGATCTACTGTCCTCCCATCATCATCATGACCCGTGGACAGACAGCCCGGAGGTGTCCACGTCACATTTCGTCATCTGCCTTGTGCCAATATGCTCAAGTAGCGCCACATCTCTCTGGCACCGATTCTCTTTTTGTCGTCGTCAAGCCGTTCTCAGCGAGGTCTTTCCCCCCCCCCTCTCTCGTTCCAGTTCCTTACATTTTTCCGGACACCACACCTCTTAATTTTTCTGTAGCTGTCCATCCGACGTCTGTGTCAAAATACCCAATGTCCGATACTCTTTTCGTTAAAGTCACGTAGGTAAAAAATTTAAATAAGTTAAATCACGACGTTTCGGGCACAACACAAGTGTCCTTCTTCAGGAGGGGACAACTTAGCGAAAGCACAACCGCTTAAGTGTTTCTCTGAAGCGTCGCGATTTTATTTATTTTAATTTTTTACCTTCGTGACTTTACCGAAAAAAACAAAGAGTATGAATCCTTGCAGTCACGAAAACTTCAAATCTAGACCCAATGTCCGAGTTCAGACGCAAAATATGGTCATCATCATCATCCTCATCCTCAACCTCATCATCATCCTCATCATCATCAACATCATCATCATCCTCATCATCATCATCCTCATCATCATCATCATCCTCATCATCCTCATCATCATCAACATCCTCATCATCATCCTCATCATCATCATCATCCTCATCATCATCCTCATCAACATCCTCATCATCATCATCCTCATCATCATCATCCTCATCAACATCCTCATCATCATCCTCATCATCATCATCCTCATCATCATCATCCTCATCATCATCATCCTCATCATCCTCATCATCATCATCCTCATCATCATCATCCTCATCATCAACCTCATCATCATCCTCATCATCATCATCCTCATCATCATCATCCTCATCATCTTCATCATCATCCTCATCATCATCCTCATCATCATCACCCTCATCATCAACCTCATCATCATCCTCATCATCATCCTCATCATCAACCTCATCATCATCATCAACCTCATCATCATCCTCATCATCATCCTCATCATCAACCTCATCATCATCCTCATCATCAACCTCATCATCATCCTCATCATCATCATCCTCATCATCATCATCCTCATCATCCTCATCATCATCCTCATCATCATCCTCATCATCATCCTCATCATCATCACCCTCATCATCAACCTCATCATCATCTTCATCATCATCCTCATCATCATCATCATCCTCATCATCATCATGGTCGTCCACGAGAAAGCTGTGCGCGACGGGCACCCTGCCGCTGCCGGCGCCGGCTGCGCCAGGCGGCGCCAGGCGGTGCCCCCCACCTGGAGCTGCTCGTGCTCCTGCTCGAGAGCGGAGGCGCGCGACTCCAGCTCCTCCAGCTTCGCCGCGGCGCCACCACTCGCCGCGTCGCCGTCGCCAGGGGCCAGCGCCAGTCCGGGGGCAAACGCCCGCGCATCCTGCGGGGTGTGGGGGGGGGGTACGGGGGGGTAGGGGGGCACAGGGGGGTGGGGGGGGGAGTACGGGGGGGTGGGGGGGCGGAGAACACCAGAGGCATGAGGAGTGGCGCAGGTGGTCAGTTCCGTAGCCTCTACAGGCGCCATGAAGAGCGAGGACGTGTCTCATCTATCGACACGCTCAACCATGGCCTCTAGATGAGGCTCGGGGACTCTACGTGAGTCTATGGATCTCTATGTGAGTCTGTGGGTCTCTATGTAAATCTGTGCGTCTCTGTGTGAATCTGTGCGAGTCTGTGAGCCTCTATGTGAATCTGTGCATCTCTGTGTGAATCTGTAGTTCTCTGTGCGAGTCTGTGGGTCTCTGTGCGAGTCTGTAGGTCTCTGTGCGAGTCTGTGGGTCTCTCTATGTAAATCTGTGGGTCTCTATGTAAATATGAGGGTCTCTCTATGTGAATTTGTGGGTCTCTGTGCGAGTCTGTGGGTCTCTGTGCGAGTCTGTGGGTCTCTGTGCGAGTCTGTGGGTCTCTGTGCGAGTCTGTGGGTCTCTGTGCGAGTCTGTGGGTCTCTGTGCGAGTCTGTGGGTCTCTGTGCGAGTCTGTGGGTCTCTGTGCGAGTCTGTGGGTCTCTGTGCGAGTCTGTGGGTCTCTGTGCGAGTCTGTGGGTCTCTGTGCGAGTCTGTGGGTCTCTGTGCGAGTCTGTGGGTCTCTGTGCGAGTCTGTGGGTCTCTGTGCGAGTCTGTGGGTCTCTGTGCGAGTCTGTGGGTCTCTGTGCGAGTCTGTGGGTCTCTGTGCGAGTCTGTGGGTCTCTGTGCGAGTCTGTGGGTCTCTGTGCGAGTCTGTGGGTCTCTGTGCGAGTCTGTGGGTCTCTGTGCGAGTCTGTGGGTCTCTGTGCGAGTCTGTGGGTCTCTGTGCGAGTCTGTGGGTCTCTGTGCGAGTCTGTGGGTCTCTGTGCGAGTCTGTGGGTCTCTGTGCGAGTCTGTGGGTCTCTGTGCGAGTCTGTGGGTCTCTGTGCGAGTCTGTGGGTCTCTGTGCGAGTCTGTGGGTCTCTGTGCGAGTCTGTGGGTCTCTGTGCGAGTCTGTGGGTCTCTGTGCGAGTCTGTGGGTCTCTGTGCGAGTCTGTGGGTCTCTGTGCGAGTCTGTGGGTCTCTGTGCGAGTCTGTGGGTCTCTGTGCGAGTCTGTGGGTCTCTGTGCGAGTCTGTGGGTCTCTGTGCGAGTCTGTGGGTCTCTGTGCGAGTCTGTGGGTCTCCATGTGAACGTGTGAGTCACATCTCGAGACTGCACAGTAACACCGAACGTGTGCATTGTCCAGCGCGAGCAAGCCAGGCAGTGAGGCAGAGGACAGGAGGAAGGTCCTGAGCCTGGACTTGCACCGGGGCAGGGAGTCTACCACAGCACGGATGGCTGGGGCAAAGGGAGCTTCAGACGAGCCAGCATAGGAGAATGAGCGACCTACCAATGAGTAGAGTGAAATGAGAGATAGGGGAGTGTGTGGAGGGGAGTAGTGGGAAGAGAGGTAGGAGAGTGTGTGGAGGGGAGTAGTGGGATGAGTGGTAGGAGAGTGTGTGGAGCGGAGTAGAGTGAGATGAGAGGTAGGAGAGTGTGTGGAGGGGAGTAGAGTGAGATGAGAGGTAGGAGAGAGCGTGGAGGGGAGTAGTGGGATGAGGGGTAGGGGAGTGTGTGGAGGGGAGTAGGATGAGAGGTAGGGGAATGTGTGGAGGGGAGTGGAGTGGGATGAGAGGTAGGAGAGTGCGTGGAGGGGGGGAGGAGTGGGATGAGAGGTAGGAGAGTGAGTGGTGGGGAGGAGAGTGAGATGAGAGGTAGGAGAGTGTGTGGAGGGGAGTGGAGTGGGATGAGAGGTAGGAGAGTGCGTGGAGTGGAGTGGGATGAGAGGTAGGAGAGTGAGTGGTGGGGAGTAGAGTGAGATGAGAGGTAGGAGAGTGTGTGGAGGGGAGTGGAGTGGGATGAGAGGTAGGAGAGTGCGTGGAGGGGAGTAGAGTGAGATGAGAGGTAGGAGAGTGTGTGGAGGGGAGTAGAGTGAGATGAGAGGTAGGGGAGTGTGTGGAGGGGAGTAGAGTGATATGAGAGGTAGGAGAGTGCGTGGAAGGGAGTGGAGTGGGATCAGAGATAGGAGCGTGAGTGGTGGGGAGTAGAGTGAGATGAGAGGTAGGGGAGTGTGTGGAGGGGAGTGAGATGAGAGGTAGGAGAGTGCGTGGAGGGGAGTGGGATGAGAGGTAGGGGAGTGTGTGGGAGGGGAGTAGAGCGATATGAGAGGTAGGAAAGTGTGGAGGGGAGTGGAGTGGGATGAGAGGTAGGAGAGTGTGTGTAGGGGAGTACGGTGGGATGAGAGGACGCTCCGCAGGGGCAAATCAATAGCGGATCCTGAAGTTGGCAACTGCGATTTTGAAACAGTGGTCATGAAGGTGGGTGGTGAATGTGGTGAGGGTCGAGGTGGTGAGGGTGACGATGGTGGATGCGGAGGTGGATTCGGAGGCGGATTCGGAGGCAGTGGATACGGTGACGTTGTGGACATACTGCGGCTTGAAGTCGCTCCTGCAGGTCACTCCGCTCGCCCTTCAGCTGCTCCAGCTCCTTCTCCTGGGCCGACACCCGGCTCCTTAGGGCCTCCACCTCCTGTGGTCCCACCACACCAAGTGACACCACCACACACCGGTGACACCACCACACACACCACGACACAGCGGTGACACCACCACACACACCACCACGACACACTGGTGATAACACCACACACACCACGACACACAGCGGTGACACCACCACACACACCACCACGACACACTGGTGATACCACCACACACACCACCACACAGCGGTGACACCACCACACACACCACCACACCAAGTGACACCACCACACACACCACGACACAGCGGTGACACCACACACACACAAGACCTCACAGCGGTGATACCACCACATACAACACACCAAGTGACACCACCACACAGCAGTGACACCAGGAGAGTAGAGTGGGATGAGCGGTGATACAAACACACACAAGACCTCACAGCGGTGATACCACCACATAGACAAAACCTCACAGCGGTGATACCACCACACCACACCACGACACACCGGTGATACCACACACACACCACCACACAGCAGTAACACCACCACACACACGTGACGTCACAACGTCACGCAGACTGCAGCATCGTCACCACGACCGACGACCGCTGCTGCGGATCGCTTTGCTCGGCAGCTTGCCGTTAGTGCTCGGCAGCTTGCCGTTAGCGCTCGGTACGTCGCCTGGCGTCGGCCCAAGGGGGAGAAGTGGGAGAGGGGGAAGGAGGGGAGAGGTGGGAGAGGGAGGAGGGGGGGATGACCAGCAATGGCGCCTGGCAGGCCCTGCCGTGGTACCTGGTCGCTGGGGGCGTCCGCGTGGTCGCTGGCTCCCGACACAGCGACCCCCGACTTCTGCCGAACACGACACGAACGGTGTGTGGAGGGGGGAGGGGGTGGGGGGTGACAGGCAAAGGCGTGAGTGTCCACATGCGGGTCGAGGTGTTGGCGTTGTGGTTTACTCACGTGCGTGCGTGAGTTTATATGTGTGTGTGTGTGCGTGCGCACAGGTGGCGCATCTGCCTGTCATCTCAGTAAGTCAACTCATGGCACCCGGGTCTGTCCCGTGACCTCCTGCCAGCGGGCGTTCGACACTAACACGTGGCCTGAAAGTGCACATAGCCAGGCACAAGCGCCGTGGTCTTTCCGACAGGTCTGTCTTTCCGACAGACCTGTTCTTCACCTGAGGACGGCTGCTTGCGTTGTGGCCGAAACGCGTGAGAATTGTTTTTTATAATGTTTTATTTTTATTATTTTATTATTTCCCTTCTACGTGACTTTACCGAAAGAACCAAGAAGATGAATCCCTGCAGTCACGAAAGCTTTAAATCGAGAGCCTTCCATACTAACCTGGTGCTGCGTGTAAACATCAACATTGGGGAATCAATGGCGGCTGGGCGTGTGGCTGGCCACCCACCCCATCGTGTGCCATGCCGGCCTTAATAGGCGCTCGCAAACAGCACTTGCTCCTACAGTTTGTTCAGGCTACAAGGGGGATCTTTGTCTTTGTGTGTGTGCGCAGGCGAGTCACCAGCGCGCTGAGCTGTGCCTCCCTCTCGGCGAGCAGGCCGAGGGCGTGAGCGGCACGCGTCCTCTGCTCCTCCAGCTCGGCGCGCAGCCTCTGCAGCTGCTCGGCGGCCTCGTCCCCGTCGGCCCCGGCGGCGCCCAGCCCGTTCACCTCCACGTGAGCGGCCTGCGGCCCGTCCTTGCCTGCCCGGCGCAGCCAACAGCAACGTCAACACTCGTCGGCAGAGGCCTTGCGCGTGTGTGCCTTTGTGCGTGCGTGCTTTTGTGCCTGTGTGCCTTTGTGCGTGTGTGCTTTTGTGCGTGTGTGCCTTTGTGCGTGCGTGCCGTGTACGTACGCGTTCGCGAAGCGGTCAGCGCGCCGCGCTCTGCTGACTCGATTCCTGCTCATGGCCACCAACGCCAGTGACGATTATCTGAACCGGTTGACTCGGCTTAAAATGAGCACCTGGCGGTGTGTAAACATCTCCATTCGGGAGACAAAGGCGGTCGGGCGTGGTGCTGGCCACCCACCCCCTCGCGCGCAGTGCCGGCCTTCATAGGTGCTCGCGAACACCACTTGCCCCAAAAGTCTGTTAAGACTTTAAAGGGGATCTCTGTGCTATCTTGTATGCCTATTGGCATCTGGCAGTAATGAATTATCAGTCGGTGGTCTCAGTTAGCCAACCCATGGTACCTGGGTCTGTCCGGTTACCTCCTCCTGCCAGCGAGCCTTTGACATCTCATGTGGCCTCAAAGTGCACTTAGCCTGGCACAAGTGCTGTGGTGATATGCCACCACCACCACTTAGCGGCGAATGGCGACTGTTGTTGTTTGTTCTTAACCCTTTCCAACGAATGTTCAACGCGTTGAAACATAAGCACCTCCGATTAGCACGGTTGGCTACATACAGTGCGATAGAAGTTCAATATACATACATAGATTAGCTCCGTCTGTCTGTCCGTCCGTCCGTCCGTCCCCTTTGTCTTGGTGTGCCCTGTGCGTGCGAGTGGGCCTTACCGGCCTGAACCTTGAGCAGGTTGTACTGGTCCTTGAGCTGCTGCACGTGCGCTGCCTGCTGGCTCACGGTGGCCTGTGCCTGCTCCAGCTGCATGCCCAGCGACGCCACCTGTTTCTTCAACTCCCCAATCTGAGTGTCCTGTACCACGCGCATCATACACCACCACCACCACGCGCGTCATACACCTCCACCACGTGCCTCACGTAACACCGCCTCCACCCCGCGCGTCACGTACCACCACGTGCGTGTCACGATGCCCCACCACCGCGCCGAACAAAGTGTCCTGTAAAACCCCACCGATACCACCGTGCGTGTCACGTAATATTATTTACCACCGTGGCCAAATCAATACCGATACACGTGCGAGTCTACCATCGCCCGATCCGAGCGTCCCGTACACCGATACCAGTACAGATCACGAGCTACCACACCCTCCCACCCCTCCCACAAATCCGAGTGTCCAGTACACGGGACAGCGCCACACATCGTTCTGCCACCACCGAGCCTCCTCGCGCAACCACCCCAGTCCACACGCAGAGGTGGGCAGAGCCTCTCACCTGCTCGCGAATGAGCTCCTTGTACTGCGCCATGACGCTGTCGTGCTGCTGCATGGCCTTGTGCACCTCCTCCTCCTTGCGGTCCTCCTCCGCTGACTTCTGCACGGCCTTCACGATGGAGCCTGGGTTTGCCACACGCGCGGCGGGAGGGAGGGGGCGGGGGCGCAGTGAAGGGCGGTCTTGTCACAACCCCGCCACCCGCTCAAACAAACCGACGGACGGAGAAGGTGACAGACGGATGGGCAGTCGAGCTGACAGATGGACTACTGGAGAGATGGAGGAGACAATGCTGGCTTACAAGTGTGAGCATGAAGGTAAGAGAGGAAGAGAGGGCAGGTTGGAAGGCAGGCATACAGACAGGTAGAGAGACAGTGACAGGCAGACATATTTAAGAACAGATGAATCAACGCAGAGACCGACTGTCATCTTCTCTGCCTCTTTTCATCTGTCCGAGAGACACAGACCGACAAACACACATGTAGACACGCAGACAGACAGATGAACAGATGGAGATGTGGACAGGCAGACAGGCGGACAACCCACCCTCAATCTCGCGGACCATCTGCGTGAACTCGTGGTCGAAGAACACCTGCTCGGGCCCGGGGAACGCCGGCTGGGGCTTCTGCGACGCCTTGGAGTAGAGGTCGTGCTTGGAGACGGCCGACAGCTTCTCCAGGAAATTCTCCTTGCCGATTCGCTTCTCCACAAGCTGCTTCAGCTTCGGCCTGAGCCATCCGCAGCCAGCGGGTTAAGGGCAGGGGGGCGGGGGGGGCAAAGGAGGTCCCACGCGGAGTGAGGTCGGGATGAGGCACAGGTCACAACAAAGGTGTAACACACTGATAAGGGGGTGGGCATGGATATCCTCCGGGTTCTCCGGTTTTCCTCCCATAGTTAGCAAAAAAATATATAAACACATGCTATGTATAGTAATAGGTTTTTACCCTTTCAACTGGTACAAAAACTGACACCTTTGACACATTTTGTACCAGTTGAAAGGGTAAAAACCTATTACTATATTTTGCCACTGGTAAAGGAGGTCTCATAGTGTACATGCTATGTAACCAGTATTTGCTAAAAACATCCCAATTACTGAAAAATTACTTATAAAAAATTACTCAATTGGGATTACGCGCAACAGCAGCAGCAGCAACGTCCCGCTCCCTACTGTGAAACACTTAATGAGTCTTGAGACTCGGTGAGGCCTTCCCGGGCAGCGGCACCTCGTGTGGCTGTCGAGAGAGTTGTCGTTGTAGAAGATGCAGATGCCAATGAGCAGCGCCGACAAACCCTGCACCAGCTGCTCCTCCTCGCCCAGGTTCTCAGAGATCTGTCCCGTGAGCTGCAGCGTGCGCCGTCAAGGGTCAGCGCGAAGACCAGCGGCGCAACGACGGCGAAGTGTCCAACTGTCTGTCTATATTCTTAGGTTTTTTCGGTAAAGTCACGTAGGTAAAACATTAAAATTAATAAAAGTAAAATAAAATAAAAATCACGTTTCGGAGGCAACACAAGCTTCCGTCTTCAGGTGGAACCATCACAGCCCGACAGCTGTATCAAGTAAATGAGAGATTACAGGAGATACCACTCCGTATATATAATGGTCTCAAACCGCACCTTACCATAATAATAGAGTGGGCCATTCCTGCGCCTTCCCCCTTCCCCCTCCCCTCAACCATTATATATACGGAGTGGTATCTCCTGTAATCTCTCATTTACTTGATACAGCTGTCGGGCTGTGACGGTTCCACCTGAAGACGGAAGCTTGTGTTGCCTCCGAAACGTCGTGATTTTTATTTTATTTTACTTTTATTAATTTTAATGTTTTACCTACGTGACTTTACCAAAAAAACCTAAGAATATGAAGCTTGCAGTCACGAAAGCTTCAAATCTAGAACTGTCTGTCTGTCTTCATAATCAACGTTTTTGGGTTTAGATCGCGTTATGTATAAATGTGTCGTAACCCTCCACCACCCGACACGGCCAATCAGTAAAAAAGTGTCATGTTCACAAAAGACAAATAGTTCACTGCTTTAGCCCACCGGTGTGTTGAAGCGTGAAACCACAACATTTACAATTTTTGAGTAGTACGACGTTTCGCTGGTAATTGCATCCAGCATCATAGGGCAATTCACCAGAATGGTGAGGCTCTGCTCTGGCTCTGGCGAATTGCCCGATGATGCTGGATGTAATTACCAGCGAAACGTCGTACTCAAAAATTTAAATGTTGTGGTTTCACGCTTCAACACACCGGTGGGCTAAAGCAGTGAACTATTTGTCTTTTGTCAACGTGACACTTTTTTACTGATTGGCCGTGTCGGGTGGTGGAGGGTTACGACACATTTATAAATAACGCGATCTAAACCCCACAACGTTGATTAATAATATTGGTCGCGAAAGCCTGCTACGTGTTAAACTGTCTGTCTGTCTCTATGCCCATCTGTCTGTCTATGTACCCGTCTGTCTGCTCGTCTGTCTGTGTGTCTGCCCATCTGTCTGTGTACCTGCTTGTCTGTCTGTCCGTTTGCCTGAGTGGAGCAGAGACGCCGGGTTGGTGTAGAATTGATTGTTATAGAATCTACATTTGTGCAAGTGTATGCGGTGTCAATCTATAGAATCTATAACTGGTATAAATGTCGGGAATCGAGTGATCAGAACCTATACGATGTGAACATATAAAAACTAGTGGTGTTAATATACAGTGGTGTGCATATATATAAGGCATTGTGAACGTTTAATAATCTATCGATTTTCAATCGAACAAGAATCGATGCATGTACCGTGACAGTAAGATCATTCCAATGCCCAGCTGTAGTTTTTATTTTTGACGAGAGGACCCCCCCCCTCCCTGATGGCAGGATACGAAAGGCACATTGGCGGGGTTGTGCAGGAAGTGCGTGACTGCGATGGGGCAGTCCGTGAGCCACGTGCAGAGCAGGATGAGCAGGCCCACGCGCGTCTGCACCTTGTTGCCCTGCACGAGCGGAGCACGCACACAGGACACCGCCTCTCTGAAGAACAGCCCCCTTCACCAACGCGGGGCGCACACCATCAACCTTCGCCACTGGAGCCAGCAAGGGCGCCAGCGTGATCCACCGAGCGTCCAACCGGGCAACCCGCCAAGCAGCCAGACGATGGATCAGGCCAAATATCCAGCCGACTATCTAGCCAATAACCGGGTGAGCATCCTGCTAAAAATGCAGACATCAATCCAGTTAAATATCTGGTCGAACGGTCGGCCATATATCTGGCCGACAATTTGGCCAATTATCCAGATGACAATACGGACACATTTCTGTGCGAATATCCGAGCTAAAACCCGGCCGAGCGTCCCACGAAAAAAATCTGGCCAAAATCCGGACGAACATCCGGCAGACGGAGCATCTGGGCGAGCGACGTGAACGTCCCAAGGAGAACGCGGCCGGACATCTGTCCAGGTATCCGGCAGAGCAGTTTTACCCAAACATCCCGGCGATCATCGTGCCGAGGGCGGTGGACCCGAGCACAGCAGAGAACGGCACTCGCTCCATACACGCAGCCCACCACCCCCGCCTCCCCTACCACGCCCCCACTACCCCGCTCCCCCATTCCCACTACCACCATCCCCCGCCACCCACTCCCAAACCCGCACAGCCAACACGGGCTCTCTCGTGGCGCTTACAGGTGCACGGACCTACGCTCGCTCGCTCGCACTGGAGGGCAAGTTGTACCACTTTACGATGGGGGTCACCCAGTCGTGCGCACCGTGAGATGTACGCGAACGATGAAGGGAGTTTTCTAGACTCCAGTGCTCATGCCCCACATTTAACACTCGTCTCCATTCAACGATTAAAACACACGCTCCATGAGCCTGACGATTGGTAAAGACATCCCCACTGGACGTACAGAGCGATCATGAACATTGAGATAGAGATCTTGTGTGTGTGTGCTGTGTGCATAGGTGTGTATCCCAGAGAAATAACAATAGGTTACAAGCACCACCCTAGGTTAACTCAGCCCTAAATGAGTACCTGGATGCAGTGTGTAAACACGACTGTGTATAGATCTGCACTTTGGAGAAAAAGGCCACCGGGAGTGGTGCTGGCCACCCACCCCCTCTCCGTGCGCCACACCGATTCTCAATAACGGCACTTGTCCCAACAGCTTGTTAGAGGCCATACAGGGGAACCTTTGTCTGTGTCCGATTCAAATTTGCGCCGTCTCCGTCACGCGGGACAAGGTTACCAATCATCGGTCGCGTGCAGCACGTAACGGCTCGATCTGTGTTTGAACGGAGGAGACTGGGGAGCAAGTGACAGCCGCTCCAAGCCGCACCGTGGCTGCGGTGGTACTCAATCAATCAACCATCACGGCAGACTGTGCAGAGCGGGGTGCGGAGTGAGGGCAGTGGCATGAGACAAGATTAGGAGAAACCGCAAACGCCAACACAAACTCCGACACAAGCCCTAGGACACAGTTGTTAGGACAAAAAACGTTGTTAGGCACACCCCAATCTGGTCTCCCTCCGCAGGCACCCACCACAGCCCACACGCAGACAGCAATCGGGGCCCGAAGGCGCTGGCGTTGAGCCACCGCCGCCGCCTAAAGACGTTACAACTACGGCGCCCATCTCGCCAGGTGTCAAGATACTGAACGATAAAAAAGGGGCTTTGTCCTGTCCGGCGTGAACACGGATGTTAAGGTGTCCGCCATCACCAAAGAGACACCAATGACATGGCACCATGTCTGCAAAACCACACACACACTTGGGGTAAGGAAAAACGCAAACAAATATGCTTTTATAGAGTATGCACCGTCCTTGAAACTCATTGGCCTGCACCAAACAGCCTCCTTTTGCGGCAATGTTTCACCAGTGCTAAAGAATAGACCGCCAAAAGGCGAACCCGTGCAAGGACAATGCAACCACAAAAGCATTCATAGCCCCAGTTTAACGGTAATCGGACATTAAGACGTTATTGGTAAAAACCCACAGCAATGACACAGGCTCACAGGTGAGCCACAGGTGAGCCACAGGTGAGCCACAGGTGAGCAGACGACATGAGTTAGACAGGAAAAGGGGGTTAGTCGAGGGGAGGGGTTAGCGAGGGGGAGGGAATTAGGTGCCTCCTGGCGCCCCCTGTGGTGAAGGTGGGGGTCGGACACGCGCCACACTTACCCGTCTCACCAGCTTGTCGCCCTGTCTTCGTAACGGGCACACGGGGAGGAGGAAGGGAGCAGAGTGGGGTGAGATACAGGTAGGAGAGCGGTGGTGAGGGGGGGCGGGAGGGGGGCCTGTAAGCACTGACGTTGGGGCCGTGCAGGTCGTCTCAGATGCCCCCCCCCCCGACGCCGGAGCGCATCGTAGAGAGGACAAAACATGCACGCGGTTCTTTAGTCGTTCACGCGCACCGCCAGCGTCTTAGCAACACCAATCGGGTACCAGTGGGTGATATCTTCGGCATGGCGGCGGCGATGCGTTTCTAATTGCCTTGCCCGTGCCGAGTCACTTCTGTCGCCGCACGGGCACCTTGCAGTGCCCCAAGCGACTGTGGTGTGCGCGTTGAGGGGCAGCTGCCCGCGCTGCATTGCTACCCGGCCAGGTGGCGCAACGGTGGAGCTAGCGGCTCGTAATGGGGAAGCCGTGAGTTTGAATCCTAGTTGTGAGGGTTGACTCGACCCATCATCCCGCACTCCGGGCAGGGGGGGGTGATAAAATGAATACCAATTTGTATGGAAGTCAACAGTGGTTTTGCTGTGGATAAACTCGGCAATGCCCTGGGAATGTGCCATTACCACCAATGGCTCAGGGCTGCTGTAAACAGGAGATGAGCGCCAATTCCTCAATGGTAATTTGCGCAGAAATTCACTCGGCAATGACATTTATCCATCCCCCGAGTCAAGACAATGCTCCCCCCCAACCCCACCCCGCCTAGTATAGTATACAAGCCTCCATTGCAAAGACAGAGGTGCAGCCCTGCATTTGCTTGCTGACAAATGCTGACAAGAGGCAGCTCGATGGGGGAGCCCCTCCAGAGTGTATTTGGCCTCTCCTTCCACGCCGGCCAAGAGGAGGGAGTGCCCACACGCCTCGATTACTCGTGGGCGGCGAAGTTGTGCGGCGAGCACCTGCGACAGGATGCTGGTGCACTGCTGCAGCAGCGACACGGGCGGGTTGCCCAGCGACGTGGCGAGCTGCACCCGCAGCAGCTGCTCCTTCTGGGCGGCGTTGCCGATGAGGGCGTGCGCCAGCGCCACCGCGGCGCACCAGTTGGAGAGAGCGTCGCCCGAGAACAGGCCCCCGCACAGCAGCTGTCCCGCCGAGATGGCGCTGGCTGTGCCGGGAACGCACGCACAAACACACGCGCGCGCAAGCAAGCACCCACGCACCCTGGTCATCATCATCGCAGCCGCCATCATCGTAAGCACCGCCACCACCACAACCGCAATCACACACATCATATACTACACCAACATCACTACCACCACCAAGACCACCGCTATCACACAAATACTTTCACTGTGATAATTATCACAGAGGTGATTATAATAATCACTATCGCTTTCATGACCAATATTATTCATAATATAGGTTTTTGGGTCAGATCGCGTTATTTATAAATGTGTCGTAACCCTCCACCACCCGACACGGCCAAACAGTAAAAAATGTGTCACGTTTTTCAATAGACAAAATAATTCACTTCTTTAGCACACCGGTGTGCTGAAGAGAGAATCTACAGCATTTAAAAATTTGAGTACGACGTGACACATTTTTTACTGTTTGGCAGTGTCGGGTGGTGGAGGGTTACGACACATTTATAAATAACGAGATCTGACCAAAAAACCTATATTATGAATCACTCTCGCTATCATCACCATCATCATCATTGACACACCAAGACAACTGTTCAATCACACCACTACCAACGTGATCACTCCCACCACCACCACCACGATAATCTTTTCATCATCATAATCTTCATCACCTCGTATCGTGTATAAAACATCAGCGCTTGTGGGAGAAAGGTGGCTGGCCGTGACGCTGTTCACACCGCCCCTTCGTTGCGCAATGTCCACCTTAACAGGTGCTCGCTAACAGCGCATGCCTCAACAGCCGGTGTGGGGGCAGGGTTGGGTAGATAGGGGGTGAGGTTGGTGAGATGAGGGTGGTTTTGGTGAAACCGGCGAGGATGAGCGGTTAGGAGGATTGCGTGGGGGTTGGCATGGACTGTGTGCATCGTGTTGGGGTGGGCGTGGGGCGGCACCGTCGATGGTGGAGGGGAGCAGCGTGGCAACGATCTGGCCCTGCCCCCCCGGGTTGCGGTAGAGGAAGCTCTGGAAGCAGTAGAGCACGGCGCAGCGCAGTACAAACGGCTGACGCTCATTCACCATCGACATGAGCAGCACCACCAGCGCCGGCCTGCACGCCACACGCACACACGCACACACGCACCGGCTCGGTCAATCACGGCGCACGTCCACAACAATCACAACCAGCAACCGCACGCCGCCAGAACCTACTGCGATGGTACAAAACCACAACAACCCATGACACACACGCCACAACCACAACAACCAATCGCACGCACGCATGCACGGACCACCACGGTCAACAACGGCGCACGTCCACAACAATCACAACCAGCAACCGTACGCCACCAGAACCTACTGCGACGGTACAAAACCACAAGAACCAATCGTGCACACGCCACAATCAACCACAAATGATGCACAAGCGCAACAACAAAGCACCATCGTTAACAACCGCAGACCCCCCCCCCTCCCCCGAACATATAAAATACCCCACACACACACCAAGGGGGCGGGGGGGGGGGCAGGGTGGGGAGAGGGAACCAAGGTGGGGGTGGGTGGCACGCACCTCGGCGGCGTGGAGGGAGCGCTGACCGCCGCAAAGTACTCCTGGTTCGTCTGGCACCCTCGGATCACCTCCGACACCGTGTTGATCGTCTGAGACAACAGCGTGCAACACGGACACACGCGTCAGCCAGCGCACGCGTCCTCCGCAGCGGTCCGCGTGGAACGGCGGGTGACGGCACGAGACACGGGCGCCGGGGACGCGGTGCGATGGGGAGGCTTGCCTCGGTGAGTATGTCCGCCGGGACGCCGGTGGCCATGAGGATGGCGCACAGCTGCTGGAGGAGGCCGCACTGGAACATGGCCTTCTGGCACGCCGCCACGGCGCCCGCCGGATTCGCCGGAGACACCAGCGTCCGCACAAGCTGCGGCCGTGGGGTGGGAGGGTGCGGGGGGATGGTGGGCAGTGGCGGCACATGGAGACACACGCAGTGTTACCCGTGCACGCACGGTTAGACAAAGATCCCCCGTATAGCCTTAACAGACTGTTGGGGCAGGTGCTGTTAGCGAGCACCAATTCTATTCAATTTTTGATTTATAAAGCGCCTTTCACCAAGGCGCTTGACAATGCTTGCCGACTACAGTACAAAATGGCAAGACAAGGGATGGGGATCGGGGAGTGACGAGGGTGGAGTCTGCGGCGGTGGAGGGGCGTTAGGCGGTGCTGGTAGGGGTGGCGGAAAAAGAAGGGAGAAGGCGGAGTAGAGAAAAGAGATAGGACCTGAGGGCGGTGGGAAAAGAGGAGAGCGAGGGGGAGAGTCGGATGTGGAGAGAAGTTTGTTCCAGAGTAAAGGGGGCAGGCAGAGGTAAGGGGCGAGAGTGAGATTGGGCGCAGGGAGGAGGCACAGCCAGAAAATGAAGGCCGGCGTGGTACACAAACACACGTATAAACCCACTCACAACATTCGTCGCAAAACATGCCTTATTACCACTATTATTATTATGCTCGATCACCCCAGAAAGCCTCAATAGGCGTCAAGACCCTTTTGGCAGCAGGGTGCTGCCAAGTATTTCGCAGTAGGGGGCGCTGTAATTTGATGAAAACTCACACTAGAGATAAAGGACTCAATTTGAAATACTCGGGGAAAAATCGCTCCCCCTCCTGGCAGCAGGCAAATGCCCACACGCAGGCCGGTGCCGAGAGATCCTTGCGCTCCACAGGGAGAGCTGCCGCTGGGGGTGCCCGTCGAACGTTTTAGACGCGATGCATTTGCCGAGGCATTTAAACAAGAGCCGTACCGGTGGCAGGCACCCTACTGAAATAGAGTTTTTGAGGCCCGGTGGCGAGGCTTTCCTGGGTAAAACGAGACGCAATTAATTCTAGATTTGAAGTTTTCGTGACTGCAAGGATCCATAATCTTTGGTTCATTCGGTAAAGTCACGTGACTTTACCGAAAGAACCAAAGAGTAGAGACGCAATTAGTTACAGTCTGCCCTTGCTCAACGCGTGTCCACACAGTGTTTTCGCCATAACACGGTTCTTTTATTTTGGGAACACTTTTGCGCGGAGCACGCACTGTTATAACGTGGTTTCTGAGCGGTTGACGACGAACTACTTTCTTGAGCCACGGTGCTGGGCAGTATGATACAGTATGCTGAACGATACAGCACGTGGAGTGATACAGTACTCGGCGACATATCCTCGTATCAGTTCTTTGTACCGCCGTGGGATGACCGACTTTAGGCCGATTTTAAAGCGCTAATGTGATTCAGTAACTCGGTATATCGCTCGCTTAAACACGGTTTTGCTTTGCGCGCCAACTTTCAGGAACGCATCGAGCGCGTTAAAAACGAGGAATTCTTGTATTTGCTCCCGGCGATTCAAAACGGCCTTCCGGGCGGCCACGTGCGTGCCCACCGCTGGCGCCGACCTGCAGCATGAGGTGCAGGTTGGTGACCTTCTGCGCCGACCAGCCAGCGCTCTCCTCGGTCACCTCGAACCAGGGTTTCATGCGCTGCACGTAGGAGCCCTCCTTGAAGAAGTTCTGGTTGGAGTTGTTGTTCTTGAGTAGGTTCTGCAGGAGCAGCAGGCAGTCCTCCACCACGATCCCTGCCGATCCCGCACAAACCACGGCACTCTCACAGCCGCGAAAACGCCGGTGGAGCAAGCGACAAACCGGCACTTATCGCAGCAGCGATGGACAAAGTTTTTTTTTTGTTGGAACAAAACAAGAGCTCGGTAAAGCGCGCTGCACAGCGCGCCGCACAGCTCACTCAACCAGGCGACACAATCTACGTAGGAGAGTCCCAATGCAACTGAACCATATAAAAGGGGGGGGGGGTCAAAGGTGAGACAAACTGAGCCAGCTGCTACAGCCAAGTGGGGACATGATATTGGGGAGAGGATGGAAATTTAAATGGAGGGGAGAGGGGGGGGAAACTGGGGAAGCAGGAGTATAACCAACCTAATGAGGGAAACCTGGGGAAGGAGTGGAATAGGGGAGGGGGGAGATGGAGGGGGGGAGGAAGCGGGGGACAGAGTCATTAAGTTTCTCGACGTTGAACAAGGTCACTGCGTCGCGCGCGCCCCCCAATGCGTCTCGACAGGGAGGCGCATCAGAACGGCAGTGGCGGTGGCGGCGGCGGTTACCTCCGTCGCTGTGCCCCTCCTCGGAGACGATGTCGAGCAGCCTCTCGAAGGCGTTCTCGAAGGCCACGATCTTCTGGATCGCCGCATTCCCCTTGGTCAGCTGCTGCAGCAGGAGCAGCCCCTGCGCACCGCGATACACGGCACACGTTAGCGGCGACTCGCACGGCTCCCCACGCCACCGTGGCTCCCATGCACAGCAGCAGCGTGCTGTGTTCCCTCTGCTGCCCCCCACACAATAACAGCAGCGTGCTGTGTTCCCTCTGCTGCACCCCACACAATAACAGCAGCAGCCTGCTGTGTGTTCCCTCTGCCCCTCACACCACACCGTGCTGTGTCAACCCGCCACCCCCCTGACCCCGACGCCACTCACGTCATTTCGGATCACCTCCCTGGTGTCCACCAGCAGGTCCATCATGCGCGACACTCCTGCGGGGGTGGCGGGAAGGGGACAAAGGGGCCAGTGAGGGCAGCTACAACAACAGTGGGGGGGGGCCACAAGGGACGACACGGGACGCGGAGGGTCGACCGTGACGGCGTCGTCCGTCACGGCGGGCACCGCGCCCGTCGGCAAACACCACCCACCCCCCCACCGCCCCGTGTTTCCGCGCGACGGCTGGCCCATGCTGCCACACGCGCCCAGCTGGGAACTCAAAGAGGCAAGAAAGAGTCTCATTTGCAAGAGTGGGTGGGCGATTGAAGGAGTGAGTTAAGCGAGGAAGGTGGTCGTGGGAGAGGATTGGGTGGGACAGAGAGCTCGAGGAAGGATGGGTTTGGGTCGGGGTGAGTCGGGCTAGAACAGGTCAAGGGTAAAGATGGGTCAGGGAGGAACAGGGCAGGGTGGGGATGAGGATCGGTGGAGGCTGACCTGTGGGCGTGACGAGGATGATCTGGTGCACGGCCGGTCCTCGGTTCTTCAGGAGTACCGTGAGCAGCTTCACAGCCGCCCATCGCACGTGGAACTCAAACTCCTGCGGGCGAAACACACACACATACATTAACACACACTCATTAACGAAAAAAGACAAAGATCCCCCGTATAGCCTGAACAGACTGTAGGGGCAAGTGCTGTTAGCGAGCACCTATGAAGGCTGGAATGGTACACGAGGGAGTGGGTGGCCAGCACCACGCCCGACCGCCTGTCTCCCCAGTGGCGATGTTTACACACCGCACCAGGTACTCATTTCAGGCTGAGTCGACCTAGGGGAGGCCCAGGACTGGTTCAGATAATCGTCACTGGTGTTGGCCGTGAGCGGGAATCGAACCCGGGACGCCGGGTTCATAGCGCAGCGCACTAATCGCTACACTACCGCACCCCACCACACACGATCACACACACACGGCCTCCCGCCCAGTCGCCAGCTGAAAAGGGACGCAACTACGAACGTTGACCACATTCGACCGAGTGACATCGTCGTGCAGACATCACATGGAGTGAAATCACGTGCTGTGACATGGTGGTGGTGGTGGTGCAACATCGCATCATAGCGGTACCATGGAGTGACATCACGAGAATCCAATAAATTTCGATTTAAAGCTTTCGTGACTGCAGGGATTCATCTTCTTGGTTCTTTCGGTAAAGTCACATAGAAGGGAAATAATAAAATAATAAAAATAAAACATAATAAAATAATTCTCACGACGTTTCGGCCACAACGCAAGCAGCCGTCCTCAGGTGAAGAACAAGTCTGTTGCACGCTGTCTTCCCGACAGACCTGTTCTTCACCTGAGGACGGCTGCTTGCGTTGTGGCCGAAACGTCGTGAGAATAATTTTAATATGTTTTATTTTTATTATTTTATTATTTCCCTTCTACGTGACTTTACCAAAAGAACCAAGAAGAGAATCCAATAGCTGTATTATATTTTTGTTTTCCTTTCCGCGCGTCTCCGATGAGCACGGTTGGCTACTTCCGGTGCAAAAGAAGTTCAACATAAACATGTACATACGGGGTGGGGGGGGGGGGGAGTCAGTGCAGTGACAACTTAGAGAGCGTGCCTCTCGTTCGTGCGCGTGTACGTTCGACGGGGTCTGGACTCGGGATACCTCAAGGAAGGAGAGCAGCAGCGACACGTTCTCCTGCTTCTGGATGATGACGTCGGTGAACTGGGCGCCCAGGTCCTCCTCTGGGGCCGTCTTCTGCTGCTGTTGCTGCTGCTGGTGGTGCTGTTCCTCTGCGGAGGGGGAGGTCACGTTGCGTGTTGCGGTGACAACCGCATGGGACAAGCGAATGTTATGACTTCGCACCATTAAACTATTAAACTATTTTTTATCTACCAGGTAAAGCCCACTGAGCTATAGAGCTGTTTTTGAAAAGCGAACTGGCCACAAATGATAGCTCAATACACTAAAACGCACATTAATTCTAAAGGTGGAGGGAAAACCCGGAGGAACCGGTGAAAAATCCATGTGACCACAGGGAGAGAGACATGCAAAACTCCAAATATACAGGCGGCAGGGTCGGGATCGAACCCATGACCTCCTGCATACCCGACAAGGTAGTTAACATTTCACCACCGCCGTGAGATGTTAAGCCCAGACGCGACAGACAACGCCCACACGTGCAAGGGCAGCTCTTATCTCGGAGGTGTGCACCTGGGCTCATCAGTGGTCGGGACGTGACTGTTCAACGTCCCAGTGTCAAACCTGTTCACCCTGCAAGTGGCCCACGGCAGCTGCCGTTCCCCCTCTGCGGAAACGCCGCAGTGCAGTATATAGTACCGTATCGTATAGGGTATCGCATGTAAGGCAAGCGGACGTATTTGTTTTGTAATTTATAATTTGCTTGAGTTGACCATGTGATTTTGTTATTTATTTATTTATTGTAAAGCGGCTTGATGTGCTCTGCACGAAGACGACGACATGAAAGCCGAGTGCTTTGTTTATATTGTTTATTGTATCGTTTCTATTGTTGTGTATGTAATTTTTCAATGGTTTACGTTGTTTGTATTGTAGTTGATTGTATCTTCGTTATTGTTCATAGTTGTTTTTTTATTGCTTCGATTGTTCGTGCATCGTCGTTCGATGTTTGTTTTGTTGTTTATTGTTTAATGTTTGACGACAACCTCACGATAATAATAACACGCACCTTTCTCCCCTGTATTTTAAGATAAGATTTTGGGGGGAGGGCGAGTTTGTTTTAAAATCCAGTAGCTGCATGTGTGTCACAGTGTGTCACCGTGTGTGTGTGTCACTAGGTTTGTGGGGAGCGGTGGTGTAGTAGTTAGAGCACACACCGTGCTACGTACACGGGAACAGAGTTCGATTCCAGCTTGCGACGATTATCTGAACCTATCCTGGGCCTCCACTAGGTCGACTCAGCCTCAAATGAGTACCTGGTGCGGTGTGTGATCATCGTCACTCGGGAGAAAAAGCCGATCGGGCGTGGTGCTGGCCACCCACCCCCTCGTGTGCCGTGGCGGCCTTCATAGGTGCTCGCTAACAGCACTTGATCCAACAGTCCATTAAGGCTATACAGGGGGTCTTTGTCTTCGTGACTTGGTTTGTGTAACTATATTGACACCAGGCATCAGTGTGGGGTGCGTCTCACTGTCTGGATGTCTGGAGCCTCTTATAACTTGCAAAGTAATATTTTTTACAATAATAACGTAACGTTTTATTCTTACAGAGTGCCATTCGTGCACACTGCAGGAACAAAGCATTTGACGAACAAACTCGTGACGCGCGCAGCCATCGCACGGAGGCGTGCGCGGGAAAACCGCAGCCACAACTGGCGCTGCCAAAAAAAATTCCCTAAGCTCTGTGATCCTACATCAAGACGTTTGGCCGACTCCACTTTCTAACGAGCGTCTATAACCTCCGTTGCAACTACCAGATAAGAGCCGACCTGCACGTTGGGTCGCACCGCCTCTCGTACCCGGCACCCTCACACCGCCCAGCGGCGACAAGCGGTGATTCGCGCATGGCATGCAGACCACTGCACCACACGCAATCCCCCGGCAGCACTCGAGTCACAACACCACCACCCAACAAAGCCCCCCACACCAACCTCTTCCTCCGATGCATTTCGATGACAAAATATACGTAAAATTTTAGGCAGGATTGTGACAACAATGCCCGTTACCTTTGCCGATTACGTTTAAAATGCAAGGTCAAGGTGCAGCCCTGCTATTGCTTGCTCACGCAAAAGGGGTTCTAGATAGCCATTCCAGAAGGGACTTTGGCCTACTCTTCCACCCTGGCCAGTAACCTACTCATTGACCTGCTGCGGTGTGCCCATGCATGCCACTGGGTGGACAGAGGCGGATACGATTTAAGAAACTTGCCCCTGTTGTTTTGACCGCCGCGCTGGTGGGAATCAAATCGGCGACCAATGTGAAAAGCCATTACACCAGAGCAGCACCACCACGTGTGCGGTGTTATTACGTCGTGGGCAGCAGCGCCGTTCTACGTGCTAGAGTGAATCTTATCCCAAAACGAAGCCATCAGAGAGGTTAAACAGAGCGGTGAATCCATCCGTTAATATCCGCGTGTGCGCAGTCGATAAAGAGTTAGAGGCATTCCCAAGTATCGCGGGGGAACGCAGCAACACCACGTGTGTTAGTGCGGCATGCAGGCAAGCCTCCTCCCACAAGCGGGCGTGACGTCGCGTCGTTTACCTTCTGCGTCCTCTGACGTCCGGCGAACGCAAGGGGGGACACAGAGAAGAGAGCGTGAACGGAACACACGAGCCACCGTCAGCCGGCTTCGCACGCCGCTCCCCGCAACTCAACGACGACGGCAGCAGCGGCAGCAGTAACGGTGAAAGGGCATGGGGACAGCGGCGCTGTGAACGCGAATTACCTTCTTCCTCGCCCACGTCGTTCGAGACGATGTTGCACAGCGTGTCCAACGCGAAGGCCGTGATCTCCGCGTCGGACCTGAGTGACGAGAGACGCGTGGTTAGTAAGAGAGACCATGGCCAGCGGCGTCTGTAAGGTCATCGTCAAAAACCAGACTTTGCAAAATGATATCCCGTTAACCATTAAGCGTATTGGGAACCAGTTCCTAAAATCAGGAACCGGTCACCGTTTAAAGTGGAATGCGAGTAACGAGAGCACCGATTGCTCGTGCGAAAGTACAAACGGCACAGTGGCCCAAGACATCACGTGGTTCATTTGCCCTCGCCTCTCAGTTCGATAGGTGAAGGTGAAACCCTGCACTGGGGATGTTTTACTCTAGGCCATGTGGGCACCTAATCCAGCCCAGCTTCCCATGGCCACGTCTTCATCGATCCCTCCCCGCCCTCTCATTCACAACCCTTGTGTTAAATCCCTGCACCGGAGGTCACAGCAACACACTCACCCACCAACACACTCATTCACTCCCTCACCCACTCACCCACCAATTAATTCAGTTCCCCACTCAATCAGTTGCTCACCCATCTATTCCCTTGTCCACTCACCACGCTGCAGGTCACCTCACTTCTCCTTCTGATTCTTCCCTCGCCCTGCTCCACTTTGGAATTCTCTCCAGACCGTCTCTTTTCCAGAGCTCTTAGAAAATAATCTTGCCCAAATCAAGGAACATGTCAAATCTAATCTTCTGTAAGAATTCTACAGTGCCGTTTGTTGCTGGCCGCTGTGCTCAGTAACTGTGGAAAGTAAAAAAAAAACAATCCACTCGTGTGTTTGGATGAGGATGTGCAGCTGGCGTGAGTGATAGACACGTGGAAAGACAGGAGTGGAGTGTCCGGGCACTGGGCTGGAACCTCGCATAGGAAACGTACGTCCCTATCTTTGCATCTGTGATGCAAATGCACGTGTGCAGCTGTGCAGCCAGGATCCTGGTGAGCAGAGCAGCGACACACAGGGGTGTGTGCGTACCGGTCAGTCTGCAGGACGTGCAGAAGGTGTTCCATGCCTTGCGTGCCGACCTCCATGCGGTACTTCTACAATGAGCAAAACCGTTAAGCTCAGGGATTAAACAATATCAAATGTCCCCCATATAGCCTTAGCAGTTGGGAAAATGCTGTTCGCGAGTGCCTATTCAGGCAGGCATGGCACACGAGAGGGTGGGTGGCTAGCACCACGCCGGCCGCCTTTGTATCCCAGTGCTGATATTTACACACAGCACCAGGCACTCATTTAAGGTTGAATCAAACAAGAGGAAGCCCAGAACAGATATTCGTCACTTTATTTGTCGTGAGTGGGAGAGCAGAGCACACACGTACACACAAGGCCAGCGTGATGTCGGCTGCAGTCTGGGACACTAATTAAGCCCATCTCTTTTTACAGAGCTTATAATAGCAAACATCCCGGCGAGCATACATGATGTCAACAATCAGGCTTAAAAGCACGCTTGGGAGAGACATTGCGTTTCTAGATGCACGGCACATAGCGCAACGTGGTCGTCGATTTAAACGCTGCTGGGAAGGACACAAAGAGTACAAAGGATGATGGTGATATCTAATTGAACACAACGGCTCATTAGTTCTGCTACGAATCAGCTGAGAACGGCAAGCCTAATGCAAGGCAACACTCGGGGGTCTTCACGGGGAACTCATCTCATGCAGCTCATTACCCCCTATAACCCCCAACCACGATGATCGGGAAGCTGGCTTCTCCTGGTGGTCTCTGTTGAGCCATGTGGCTCCCGCCGCGGGACAAAGCATGTGTCAAATTAGCGCCGACATTGCTGCAAAAATAACGGACGGCACAAATTGGGGCACGTCTTTCTTCGTCTGATTTTAAGTTAAGGCTGTTTGTCAGACCATGGCTCTTTGGTAAGGCATATTAAAAATGACCGCAGCATGACACGCGTTTAAGTGTGCTATGGTGACATGCGATGCCCTCTATTGTGAGGATTGAGAAGTAGCAAGCGTGGTAAATTACTGAATGCTGCATATGATTGCCGTAATGTCTAGATTATGAGACACAATTTCTCCACCTGTAGTATAAAGGAAGAGTTGAGGATGCATATTATAATCCGGTAGGCGTGTGAGTGTTACTGGGTGTGTGGACAGATTCGTATCAACTTATTGATACTGGCACTAAGTGTGGGATGTGCCTTACTTTCCAGAGCATCTTATGATCCTGAAGATATGGTAATAGTTTCATGTCATCCATTCCAGCTACTAAATTAAGGTTATTATAAAGGCACCTTGGGGCGAATATTCCACATATGATACAATATGTGACTGATTACTATTAGCATTGCCGTGATGCATTCAGTATATACTTTGTAAGTGTGTGTGGATACAATACACATGGAAATTAATCCCATGTGCTTGTTCAATGGAGGAGTGCTCTCCTAACCTTGGAGAGCGATTTGAGAGCCCTCACGGCACCCCTCCGGTCCTCGATCAGTGTGGAGGACGCGACACGGTCACATAACTTCTGCACCTGCTCCCCGCACACACGCAGACACACACAGGGCTCAGCACCAACAGGTCCCTCACCTGGGTCACCTTGATCCACCTTGCCTGAATCTGGGGTTATCATTAGCGTCAGTGTGGTTCATTTGTGTTACATATTATTTGGTTGTTTTATTCAACCTAGGACCCATATCTAACAGAGGTCTCTGCGTATATACTCATCTGGCAGTTCACCAGTTTGATTCATGGCCCGACTCAGTGCATGAGACACTGAATATCAAAAACAGGCCAGAGTTTGGCTTGTGTTGAACCAATGCAGCTGAATGTGTGCACCATCACAAAACAATGCGGCTGATAGGATGAGCAAGACATATTTACATTTTTGATGTGGAGGGACAGATATGCTGGGTGAAGCATATTGTCTGCTTACTCTATTTTATTTATTCACCAAAGGTATCTGCACTGTTGCTCAGCCTGCCTTCACATCTCCAGTCCGCAAATCTGCTGCGTTTTTTTTACCATGCAGGATTGCGTCATTTGCCAAATAGAAGTGATAAGTCTGGACTACAGCCCTTGTACTTTGTCCCTGCAGTTGAGATCACATTTTTTGTTAATCAAACAACAACATTCACGTCGTGTTTTCTTTGCCGCAAATAAGATGCACAAATACTGCTCGGAACGCGAAACGTATTTATTATAATCGGTCTAGCACGGCCGCCGATACTGTGTGAATGGCAGCTATTTACCAAGAACCCAAACTAGAACAGACTGCGTGGTGCATCACAGGAATGCGACAGACACAGCGGGTCTCTCGCAATGAGAAAGAAACACAGCATTAATGCCGCGCAACCTGACCGAAAATATACAACTGTCAATATCTCTCGGCACAGAAACGTCCACTCGGTAACACTTGTAGAAATATCAATGCGGCTCGCACAGCACGTCGATTTCACGAAGCCCTTCCCCGTGTGTGGCGAGGCTAGAGTCGCCCTCCTATGGTGAACGCCACCTTCTACATTGCAAGTCCAGTGCACTAACCATTACACCTTCGGTAGTATCCTTCCATTCAAAGTTGAGAAGGTCAACACGTGTTATGTTTATTGTTCTAGACATTTCTAAAGTGCGGCAAACCGCTAAGTTTTTTTTCAAGCGGTTACTGGTAACGAAAAAAAACCTAAATTTAACAATCCTACTTCGAAGGACCTCCAGACTCTGCAGTTGTATGATGTTTTGATCATGAGAAATCACTTGGCTTAACATAGCAGTATACAGTGCTATATTCAAATACAAGGTACTGTACTCGTTCCGACCTTTCTCCGTTGGCAGAAATGTCAGGATGTGTTCTGTTGTGGTCGTGTTAATGACGAATGTGCTGATGTTACGTGTTACATTGTGGCTACCATGCTTGCATCTGTTTAATATATAAATACAAAACAGCATTTTGTGAATCCACTGTTGTCCGCTATGGGAGTTGCTCGACCATACTTCACCAGTTTGGTACGTGCGGGCTGGTAAATGTTGCCGGGGGAGGGGGGGGTAGATGTTGGGAGTATGACCGGTTCAGACCATCGCTCGCCATCGATTTAAGCCACGGCATGGACTCTAAACTCGGGTCAGCGGGTTCATAGCACAGTGCACTAACCACTGGGCCACGATTCCACCGTGCATCTGCTAAGAGGCGGTATTCACGGCGCGTGGCCATAAGAACTGTATGCAAGGCGAGGCTTTGTGTCTCTCGTGCATATGCATCGTCGATGCGCGTGAGAAAGAACCCGATTACAATCGGACACTGACGCGGAACGGCAGCCAGACGAGGAAGGATTAAGTTGTCGCGGGCGCTCCGAGTTAACTCTGAACGCGTCCGCACGAATGACGTGTCACAAACTCCGGGGCGCCACATAAGCGCTCAGGGTCCAGGGACCAGTGCAGGAGGGGGGGATGCAGTCCAACCAGTGTTAGGGGAAAGCTGGAAAGAATTCCTTTGGAGGAGACGAAGGAAAATGGGGATACCAAGAGTTGGAATACCAAGGAAGGGTTTTGAAACCAATCGGGACCCAGAGAGTAGGAGGTGCAACCAAGAACATGTAGATTAAGGGAAATCCACGGAATGTCAGACGTGGGACGTGGGAGTCCAACCAAGGGAAGCGAGACGAGGAAAAGTGCCGTCAAGTTTAACGAGGACCTGGGAGGCGAGTTCAACCAGGGCGAGGACGACCAGGAAGGGGAATGCAATGAAGGAGAAGACGCAGGCGAGACCAAGGGGAAACATCGACTAGGAAAGGGAAAACAGGGTAAGAGAGCCCCAGAGAGGGGAATGCAGCGAAGGCGAGCCAGGACAGCAGAGCTCTGTGCGTCGTGAGCCAGGGGAGAGGGGACCCCGGGCCACGGGGACCTCGAGAAGTGGCCGGGGCGCGGCTCCCTACGACAGGGGTCTGACACGTCAACATCCGAGGCCGCGGCCTTCACTCGAGCAGCGGCCTCTCCTGCTCATTCCGCGGGTTCGGCGCGCCCCCGCGCGGGCAGAGGCCGCTAGCACCACACGGCCTCGCCCCGTCCCACCCTCCCACCCCGTGTGAGCCCGTTGCGCGCGGCCGTCTCTCACCGTCTCGGCGCCCGTGGGCTGCGGCCCAGCGGCCTGTCCGCCCATGACACCGCGGAGGAAATTCATGGCGACGCGGGGAGGGGGGACGAGGGAGATGCGGCGAGCGGCACGGCGGAACGCGCGGCCTTCCTACTCCCTGCAGGCCGCGTGACGTCACTCACTGGAGTAGTGGGCGGGGTGGGCGTGACGTCGTTAGGCGACGCCTACTCGTGTGACGTCACAAAGAGGCGTGGCTTCATTTTCAGGTGAAGGGGGGGTGACGTTGTACATGATAATCCGTGTGACGTCACGAGAAATTAGGGAGGGGCGTGTTATCCCAAAGGGGGGTGTGGGCAGTTGCATGACGTCATGTAGAGGCGGTACTTAACATCGGACTCGGGGAGGGTGGGGGTGTGGCGGCGGTGACGTCACGAGAGGGCGTGTCGTGACGTTCTACGACAGGAAGGCGGTGACGTCACGTGTCTCTGGCCGCCATTGCCGCGGTAGGGGAGAAGAAGAGGCGAGAGAGACCCGCTGAGCTGCTCAGTCGAGAGGAGGAGGAGGAACCGGCGCCCGCTCGTACGCGAACCACGCCGCGCGGCGAAAATCGACCATGGAGGAAAAGTCCTCGGTGAAGGAACTGGATCAGTGGATCGAGCAGTTGTCCGAGTGCAAGCAGCTGTCCGAGGGCCAAGTGAAGACGCTATGCGAGAAGGTGGGTGACCGGGCAGGCAGGCGGGCGGGATGGGCGAGGCCTCGGGCCGCAAGGCAAAGCGCGCGGGAGGTGTTCGTGAGAACGCGGGAACCACAGCTCGCATCGTCTCCCCCCCCCATTTACCCCGTGTCTCTCTTCCTCCATCCCTCTACCGGTTCCCGCACCCTGTGGTGGGTTTGTGGTGGGGTGTAGAGGCGGCGCCATAACGGGGTAAGGCGGGAGACTGGGCTAGGGGAGGCTCCGGTAGCCCCGGCTCGCTCCGTGTCGGGCGCTCCCATTGGGCAGGAGGCCGCGGGGTGGGGTGGGGACCTGCCGAGTTTGTTCCGTGCCGCCTTTCTCCATTTGCCGAGAGGCGCGACGGGTCTCCCCTGTCGGGCGCTGCCATTGGGCAGAGGCCCGCGAGGCCGCGGCGCTCCGCGTACCCCCCCAATTTTCCTAGTTCGGCGGCGGCTTTCAGTGTCGCCGCTCGCTCTCTTGAGACCGGCTCCCTCAACCCCCGCCCCCCATTCAGTACCTTGGGGACTTGCGGAGAGCAGTATAGGGGTGGCTCGAAATAACGTGGGCGGATATTATACCGTGCCCCGCATACAATGGTTTTATTTTTTTATTAATGTGTGGACTTGTACATTAACGTACGGATTGGATGCGATTGTACATCAAATGGCACTCGCGAAACTCAAAAATGGAAGGTGCTATTGTGGTGAACAAAACACATAATGGGTGACGCGTTCATGCATCAAGGACCCTGGATTACAACCATGACGGACCATTTGCTCGAAACGTTGCCAATGCAGGCCGATGTTATTGATGTATATTTCTGGGCGGGCGGACCGAAACGAAAGGAACAAAGAGACGGGGGTGTGAGCCTGGACTTGAACAGTAAGGGGCCATCGATTTAGTACGTACGCAAAAATGTCAACTTGACCTCCCCTCGCCCTGTACGAACGCGTACTTTTTACACCCCGCCGGACGATTTAGCTAATTTGAAGGCCAATATAGACAAATTATTATCGAGGCTTCACCCCCCCCCTTCCCGTTTACTATGCGTACATTGTCAGTAGACCCCCCCCCCCCATACACAAGCGTACTCATTTGGGTTAACCCTCCCCCTCCATGCGTACATTCTAAATGGATGCCCCCCCCACCTAACGCATTGCGATGGGGAGAGAGGGGGTGAGGGATTGGGAGTTCTCGATCAGGGGTCTGCAACCTGCGGCTCTTCACGACCGCTTCGTTGCGTTATTTTCTTCAGGGTCCTCTCGTGTTCACATGCATTGCGGCTCTTAAAATATCGAGTTGTTTAACGGAATCGGAAAAAAAATAATGGCTCATGTTATTATGGTTGGCCGACCCCTGTTCCTCCACCTTGTGTGCAAATGTTGACTTGCGGGGCTTTGAACAGATACGCTCCATAAAGATACTATTTTTTTACTTGTATTAATTTGAATGTTTACCTACGTGACTTTACCGAAAAAATCTAAGAATATACTATTTTTTTATTTCAAGCCTTCGTGACTGCAGGGATTCATATTCTTGGTTCTTTCGGTGAGTCACGTAGAAGGAAAATAATAAAATAATAAAAATATTAACAAAATATAAAAACAATACAAATTCTCACGACGTTTCGACTGCAACACAAGCAATCGTCATCAGGTGTGAAATCTTGATGTGGATTTCACACCTGATGATGATTGTGTTGCAGTCGAAACGTCGTGAGAATTTGTATATTTTCATTATTTTATTATTTCCCTTCTACGTGACTTTACCGATAGAATCAAGAATAACAATACTATTGTACTAAATGGGCCTTGTTGCTAGTATCAAAATATGAAAAAGCAGAATAGGTTTCGCCTTTAATGCCTTGGTACTGGATAAAGATCTCATTTTGTAGCTGCTCACCCCGAAACAAAATGTGCTCTGATTGTGCATTGTCTTTGTGCTGTTCGCCTTTTGGCGTGCTCTGGTATGACGCTCATGAGACTCGGCCCTAAAGAAGACTGCTGTCTCTAGGTGTAGACCAATCAGTTCCAAAGACAATGCAACATATATTATCAGAGAATGTTTGTTTGCATGTTCACCACAAATCCGTGTGTGGTTAATGCAGACGATTCCTTGCAAAAGATTTCTATCTTAACGCCTCCTGTTTTACTGCCAGAAAGGGTAAAACCTGTTCTTAGTTTTCATACCTTGTGTTGCCTCCGAAACGTCGTGATTTTTATGTTATTTTTATTTTACTTTTATTAATTTTAATTTTTACCTACGTGACTTTACCGAAAAAAACCTAAGAATATGAATCCTTGCATTCACGAAAGCTTCAAATCTAGAATTTCATACCTTTGTTACTGTGTACAGCATTATAAACGAAGGCATATCACCCCCAAATACTCGGGATCCACTGAATCACAATCCCAGCCAGCCCCCCCACATTGCTGTCTGCTGAAATCGACAATGGCCTCTCAAAACTCTCCGTGAATATCTGCATAGCCGGAAGTCGCTGGTTTTCTACTTGCCCAGGAGCCTGGATTCCTTCCCCAACCCCCATCCACCATGGTCAACCTTCTGATTCACTCACCAAACGTGTTCCACGGGATTCTGTGCTCAGTCCTATTCTCATTCAATAAACAAATTCTGCTTGTGTTTTCGATTGTCCTTCCAACGCACCTCCGATTAGCACGGTTGGCTGAGTACGGTGCGAAAGACGTTTCAACATACAATATCATAGCATCAACTATAGCTCATTCTGAAGTTCAACTTTATGCCGATGACATGATTATACGCCAGCCATCTACATTCATGTACAACTAAAACAAGACGATTTCACAACCATCCAAAAAATGTTATCGCTTTAATGTCACCTGAGTGAAAACAAGACCAAGCGTGTTCCTTTTATGAGCCCCCTGGTCTAAGAAAGCTCCGAGCCAATGAAAATTTGCCCATGACCACTCTGTCGCACAGCACTTGAACATCTTTCCTTCTACAACTAGTATCTTGGCATCTGGCTCGATTCTCATCTCATCTTCAATCTTCGTCAAGAGTATTTAAGAAAGTCATTAAAAATGTACTATTGGAAATTTGTAGAGAAACGAAATATCTTTCGCTAAAACATTAGATAGATGCTACCTCTGTACATGTCATAGACTCTGCTGGTGACATGCAAATCAAGCAATAACACCATTGGATTAGCCAAACCTTATCTCATTCTGCCCAAACTCTTTATCTTACAAACTACGGTATTCCACTCATGTATTTTTATTCTAAGACCATTTATCATGCTCTTTCAATTGGCAAGGGGAGATTCATTGGGTGCAAGATTATTTTCATGCATACAAGCATAACGCAACCCCTTACAAAATCCCAAGCGTTATTCATTACCAAAACCCTCGAACGTAGAAGCCCACAACACCGTGTCCACTGTACCAAGGACAGAAGGAATCTCTCATGGGTTTCACTCTCTTTTTGTTTATGCCCCAAGCTCGTGGTGTTCCGTCACTTCAAGAATGTCCCTTGGCTACTATCCCATTATGAATAACAACGCGATGCTAAACTTTCGATTCTTTGATAACTTCAATTGACTTTGACATATCCTTGTCGACTTGTATATGTTTTCTGTAACAATTCAAATTGTGCCATGATCGGACTAAAAAGATCTGCCCGAGCCAACTTGTGCTACAGATAATGTATTAATTAAACTGGGTTGTTTATTAAATATTTATAATTTCTCATGCGACACATTGGTGTCGCATGAGAAATTATACCTTTTTTTTAGTAAGTAAATTGTATTTGTTTGGTCACCCTGGTCGCCTCTTGCAACTAAGACTTTAACTGATCTCGATTTCTCACTTGGATAAACAAAATTGACTTAGTTACTGTGTTTGTACAGCATTGATAATCTGCACAGCATTGTTTGCAGAGGTTTGTTCGCAGATTGTTCGTGTTGTACAGGCCGCCCCTGGTTACACCCTGGGTGTGATAACCATAACATATGTACTGTTTGCTTAACCATAGATGTTAAAGATCCTGTAGCATCATTCATGAAAGAGTAGGCCAGTGTATGCTGGCGTCTTGGTCAAATAAAAAAACTGAAATCGCTTAATTGGGAAAACACCCAGCAATTAGAATATGTATTTATTCTGGAGGAATCCGATGAGTTTATAAAGCTCTTCACAGATGTCCAGTGTGGCGGGTAAAGAACGTTACAACAAACAATACAAAAACATAGTAGTGCAAATTACAAGAAAGGTAAACGAATCACCAGACGCTGTCTTCCCGACAGACCTGTTCTTCACCTGAGGACGGCTGCGTGCGTTGTGGCCGAAACGTCGTGAGAATTATTTATCATGTTTTATTTATTCTTTTATTATTTCCATTCTACGTGACTTTACCGAAAGAACCAGAAGATGAATCCCTGCAGTCCACGAAAGCTTAAATCGAAATTTAAC